TGAGATACTCGTCGAAATTCTTCATTAAGAAACCCGTTAATTGAGTTTACCCTTTCCTTAATTGTGAGATAGCGAATGCTGCGTCTTTAAAGGCCTCATGAAATTATTAGGCATAACGCAAATTTTGTTGGCAGAAGGTTCACGTATTCCGCAACGCGAATAATGTTGACAGTTAAGCACGTGCAGCAGCACAATAGGTACGCGTAGTTAAGCACGCACAGCAGCACAATAGGTACGCGTAGTTAAGCACGCACAGCAGCACAATAGGTACGCGTAGTTAAGCACGCGCATCAGCACAATAAGTGCACGTAGTTAAGCACGTGCAGCAGCACAATAAGTGCGCGTAGTTAAGCACGTGCAGCAGCACAATAAGTGCGCGTAGTTAAGCACGTGCAGCAGCACAATAAGCGCGCGTAGTTAAGCACGTGAAGTGGGCCGCGAGAGCCCCGGTTCCCGACGCAATATGAAGCACATTTACATGGCGCCTTGCGGTTGTGCGCTCTTGAATTTGATGACGAGTAATCAAGGGTGGAAAACGCCATAGAGAAAGTTCTTGTGTGTCGCATATGTTTTACTTCACTGGGTCTGCAAGTCATTGTACTTCCTTAGCATTCGAATGGATGAATCGCATGCAAAATTAATTAACTTCACCAACATCATTTGTTGCATGTTGCATACACTTACTTTCTACGAGACACTAGAGCGAGCTTGGCCGGTTGTTGAATTTTTTTTAAGCTCCTTTACATGCAATAAATTTATTTAAAACCTAATGCACCTGAAGGCCTTTTATCCAAAAAATTAGGAATATTTTGCGAAAAAAACTTCAACGCTTACTGGAAAATTCAAGTAAACTTTTGGATACAGAGGAACAAATAATTCAGCGATGGTTGGACTAATGTAACAAATTTTTGAATGTGGGTTACTTTCTTTTCTTAATTTTACTCCTGAGCATCTGTCACAAAGGCTCTTGATGAACCCGGATGTCTTGGGGGTTTCGACGCATTGTATTCCATGCAGAATTGCGACGACACGTTTCCCTGAACGCTTTGACTGTAACACATATACATTATATGACCTAACACACTATGATCTTGAGGGATATGAAATAACTTGTTCAATGTTCATGTGATATAAAATATCAACCCTTATACTATAAATACAGATTAATTTTCTCTCACTGCTAAAGGAGAACCGAGAAAGTGAACTTTGAAGTATCAGTAAATTTATTTAGGATTCCTGGAGAAAAACAGTAAGGGGTCCACGTATATTTTCCGATTCAAGTATTGCAAGTATGTCCGATTCAAGTATTGAAATAACAATAATTCTTATTTTAAATTTTAAATCAATTCATACATCATGGCGAGAATAAATAATTGAATGTGACATGAAGTTCGTTTGCGCCTCAATCTCTAAGGTCTTATAGCCGGCAACGGTTTTTTTCTGCCATCATCAGACCATCGCCCAGCAAGCCTACAAAAGAAAGAGATACATTCACACACATACACCCTGTAAACCCACCCACAACACACACCGACTGTTGCATGAGAGACACGACTATTTTTTAATCCATTGCTATCAAACGAAGCATTTAAAGACTCAAGCGAGTTCATTGAGTTCTTTGCCTGTGTTGTCCAGCCTTACGTGTTACAGAATTCAGAAGATTTTAGCTCAGCCAAGACAATGCAGTGAAAAAGAAGATCTCACGAATGAGAGATACATTTGAAGTCCTGCTCTCTCCGAACCAAATTATTCAGTGTTTACGTTGTCTTGATGAATTTTAATCATATTGAATATTTTACGTTATAGAGAAAAAAGTCATGGCTCCTAAAGATATTTTGTCGAAGTTGCCCTCTCTTTAGTTAATGGTTAAATTCAAGAGGAGGTTATTAAAAAGCGTAAATGCTCACAGAAATAAGTAAAAAGTTTGGAGCAGGCTTCAGCATTTCAAGAAAACCTTTGCTTGATCATCTCTTCCAACTGACATGACTTCGTGAATACGATTTCGATGTTTCAAAAGAATAATCTTGTTTTAAATCGGGTAAAAATATTCAGTCGACCTCAAGTATTAAGATGTAGACAATAGGCTCCTGTTGTTTATATATTGTGTATCTGAATAATAATAATATGATTGAAAATATTGCATTAATATGTGCTCTGAATGAACTGACATTCATTCATCATATTTGTGTGTAATTTCTGACCTGCGCGTGCTGATGTAATATGCGCGAAAGAAAAACAACAAAATATTAGTTGAATTACTGAATTATATAATGATCTAACCTTTCAACAGAAAATATTTATATCTGTTTCTTTAGTAAACTTCAGAACAATTTTTTCATGTAGGATTTGTTTTGTTATTTATTTGTTTCACATCCCTCAGTCCAACACAACACGCCGCGCACATGTTCCGCGTGCCAGCTGTACAACAAACCACGTTACTTCCATCACTATAAATTGACTGTGGAAAGAGCACGTCGCCATGATAGTGCACCTTGTGTTGCTCGTCCATCAAGCCCCCGACATAATTTGTAGGAGTGCAAACTGGACCAATGGAGCGTGACTGATAAGCGTGGGAGCGTCTTAAGTATGTCACTGCATCGGCCGGCGACTAGTAGAGTGGTTCTAAGCACTTACTTCAAACACGCTGTGCTTTGAAATTTTTTTCAGGTGTTGCTATCGTATCTCTTGACTGGTTAGTTAAGATTAAATGTTTGATGATACATTTGTAAACAATCAAAATTTAGACTCGAATTCTGAAAAATTGTGTGACATGTTGAATATGCGTATAAATAATGGCTGGTTAGATTACATGCCGAAAAACTTATATCAAATTATATCAAGAAATAATTCTCCTTTCAGAGTTAAAACCAGCCCGTGAAATGTTAGCACATCGTATGGAAGTAAAATTCAGTTATATATTATATATTTATATTTCCTACTTGTTCTTGCACTCTTATAAACCCATTGAATCAGTAATAATTACATGATCTGTTAGTTTAAGTTGCTTGGTTTGATTGCATTAAAAAATTCGCCCATTAGATGGAAATTTGTTTAATTAACAATTTTACAATCAAAGACCCAATTTGATAGTTCTAAGCAATAATAATAATTGCATAAATCCTTTATTATATGTGGGATTAAAATTACTATCCAAAATTATAAATATCTGCTAGCATCCGATTTTATTTTGATCAAAGAAGATTTTCGTAAAATGCGGTCTATTTTACAACACTTCTTTTTAACGTCAATTCTTCTTGTTTGTTTATTTGTTTGTTTGTTTATAATATAATAATAATAATAATAATAATAATAATAATAATAATAATGATAATAATAATAATAATAATACTAATAAGAATAATAATAATAATAATAATAATATTAATAATAATAATAATAGCGGTTTCAGCCTTTATTTGGCCGTAGGCCTGTCGCCGATTCTTAACATTGCAGGACATTCACAGCTTGATGTGGTCTCGAACACACAACTCACTGCTCCAATTCTGCTGTGCTTTAACCGCCCGGCCTCCTCGCCGATTCTGACCATAAAAACCTGCGATCGAACCTGCGCCTCTCTGGTACCTCCTGGTACCCTCTGCTCCAATCTTGGTACTCTGAACTTTAACCACTGGGCCACCCTGTCTGCTGCAAATCTTATAATCGATATTTAACAGACTTCGACCTGCTCAATCGATCTGAAACACTTGCGTAAAGTCGGAGACAATGAATGGAATCAATTGACACAATAAGTAATTTTGAAAATTTAAATTTTCTTCATATATTAAAAAAAAGTTAAAATTAAATTTTCTCAATATCTGAAAATAAAATTAGAAATTCATTGTTGATGTGTAGCATCGGAGACACATTAATCTTTAGAAGTGTTGTCTTTAAAAAGTAATTTTTAGACGCATATTATGAAATATTTATTTTGTAGGTTATATGGCAAAAATGTCGCATCTGGATCAAATTTATAATCCATGGTGCAAGTAAATTAGTGTACTATCAATTATAATAGAAATTACTATCATCATTATAATTCACGCAGTAAAAACAGAAGTTTTGTGACTTTAATAAAATAATTTTTTTCGTCATTTTGCTTGGGCAATTAAATTAAACTTGTTAGGTTTCTGATAATAAAAATATGAAGCCAAGGCGGTATGAAAGCAAGCGAAGGGAATAATCTTGATCACGATGTCTAATTTGTGTTGTAAACTCTGATTTTATGTTCTCGATTACTTGTAGGCTATATCCCGGATCTACTCCCTCTTCTAGGCAGTGATTGCACAAAAGTAGACTGCATTTAAGAAAAATCCAACCGACATTAGAGAAAAAAAATAAATTTAAGCCTATCTCCTATTAATGGGAATAGAAAGTGGAAGAAATTTTAGCCCATCTTGATACTATTGGAAGTAGTACTAAAATTCATTGTATTACATTACATTTTGATTCATTACAGGTGGCTCAGTGGTTAAAAGTTCAGAGTACCAGTATTGGCGCAGAGAGGCGCGGGTTCGATCCCAGCTCTGTGCGCCAGTTTCTGGTCAGAATCGGCGAGGCGAGCGGTCAAGCACAGCAGAATTTGGAGCAGAGAGTTGTATGTTCGCGACCGCAACAAGCTGTGAATGTTAAGAATCGGCGACAGGCATATCTACGGCCCAATCAACGCTGAAACCGCGTATTTATTATTATTACATCCAAATGAAGGTGAGCATCCTTATTAAAAATAAACCGGAGAAATGCAAGGAGTGTTGACAGGTTGAAAACAAAGAGAAAATCAATTCCATAAAAACTAATATTGAATAAAGAATTTTAATAATTCAAGCGTATAAAATTATTCTAATTCTTCTTATGCACAAACTATAATTTTATTTATTTTTACATCGACTATCCTTTATTTTAGAGTGAGGTAAGAAGTCTAAATGAATCTCACAGCAATTTTCAATTTTAAACCTGACCGGCGGACCGGTATATAAGCTAAACGAATATGTGGCACCTGGAATTTAGCTGATATAATGGCTTGACTCATTAAAATTCTTTCCAGGGTCACCACGCCCCAAATAAAAATCCCAAATAAATAACTTTTTTCCGGTGTTCCGGATTTCTTAGGTTTGTTTCAAAACGGCGTATGTTGTTACTTGTTAGTTGCGCTCAACGGCCCAAGGAACCTGAGAATAACGTTGTGGACTTGTAGTTATTTGAATCTAACATAAAATAAAAAACGCTGTTGTCGTAATGAATAAAAATATTTCTTCAAACATCAATCTCAATGACTATTTGAATCAGGTATGTACTTGAATTTTCTAAATGTTAGCTACGTAAATTACATTTTTTTCTGTGCGGCTTTGCAATTTGCAGTAGCTACCGTAGTCTGTACTCTCTTATCTCTGCTCTGTTATCGAATTGAAATATCAGGTTTCTTTGAACTTAATTTTTAATTTTTCCTATTTATTCCACTTCCAGGTCAATGATGCTCATTATAATCAAGATGGAGAGGCAGTTGCTGTGAGTACTATTTAAGTATGCTAATTTATCAATAAGTTATTGGCTAAATTTTTTGTTTTTGCTCTATTTGCAGTACTTATACATTAATTAAAATATATTAGTTTTGATTTCATATTTTTTCATGATGATTTTAAATTAAAGTATATTAGTATAGGCTATACAGTATTTCCTCATCTGGCTCATCAATATGTAGGCTATCAGTGTCTAGTATGGAATATATCTACTTGGCGAGCCGCGACTGAATTTTTCGAGCCGTGGTTTTATGGATTTGCCAGCCGTGATTCCATTTCTACGAGCCGTGATTCTATTTCACCGAGCTGTGAATTCCATATCTCGGCCATGAAAAGCCATTTACGAGGTGCGAATGCAAATTTATTTACAAAGTTTATGCAAGTGTTACCCCAAATCTCTAATTTTACCCTTAAACAGTCAAACGGCAATAATAAAATTTGTCTCTACTGTAAGTTCAGCACGTGTTAATATACAGTCTGACCGCTTTGACATGACCGCAACTATGCGCGATCTTCAACAAACGTTTTGTTTATTTGTTTACATTACGATGTTTATGTTTTTTCTGCAAGATATTTTTGGCGGAAACGGTAAAGCAATGCGGATTGCGGAAGTTGAAAATTTTATGAAATGACATGTTTGCGAAGTGCAAACCGCGATTTTTTAATCAAACAAAAATTTATGACATTCAAGCCGCGAGATTTCATACCTACTGAAATTATATGATATTAGAGCCGCGAGATTTCATACCTACTGAAATTATATGATATTAGAGCCGCGATATTTCAGACAAAAATAGGACTTTTCCAGACTAGATCAGTGTCAGGACAGTCAGGAATTCAGGGTGGTGTCAAAAAATTCTATTATCTGAATGGAAACTAGAAATCTTTTGGTACATAATTTAGTAGTGTCATCCAAGCATGGACTTTCCTCTAGACAAACTATGTGCTATTATTAATAAAAGTGCATGATGATTGAGCCACAAGATTTCTAAGTTATCAAAATTAGGTATGTCACTGGTTCTGGTGGCTGGTGCTGTGCTGAAAGATTTTAGTGTTCAGTAAATAGCTAATAGCCTAATTCCCAATATTTTGTATATGCCAGTGTTTATTGGTTGGTTTTCAAATTGCAGACTTGCAAATAATTATTATTAGGAAATAATTGAATATATTATTGTCTTTTAATTAGTATACTTCTGGAAAGTGTGCTAGCTAGAAGTAATTCTATTACTTTTAGTTAAATATGATCAACTATTTCTCATAATGAACAGTTTCTAATAGTGATAGTGACAAACCAAAGATTTTTTAGAATTAGTTCATTTTTAATTTCCTCATCTACTCAAGATTTTAACCAATTTCTTATGTATGATAATGCTGGTATCCATGATATTTACTGGTCTATTTATAGGACTCAAAATCTAACTTGAGGAAGAGCCCAAAAAGTCTGCTATGACACTATGCTGAAAAACATTTACTTCTGACAAAATTTTTATGTGAAACAAGACCATTTTGATCTTATTTTGCTTGTTTACAATAAATAATAAGTCATTTTTTTAATGTATGTATTTTCTCACCAGGCACTCCTGTCATTCAGACAGCCTCATGTTATGTCTCACCGTCTCAATGCTGAAAAGCCTGAGCGTGCTGTAGCCAACATCATTTATCCTCCTATGGATGAAGTTGTTCTTGCTCATCTCAAGTAAGTTTATTTGGAAAGAATTTAGTTTCCAGTATGATATTTGATTGTGATTTGCCATAGCAGGCATAGCCAGACCTGTTATTTGCAACTCATAACTATTCATTCCAATCATTTCTCTGCTGGAAAATCTATAAGTGTCTTTCTTTTTGTCCAAAACTACAGTTATTATGTAATTACAAAGAATTGAAACTTCTATGTGGATAATTGGAATGAAATTGAAAGTAATCCTAGTTTGATTTATTTAAGTAGATGTATATATACTGTCAAACAGAGTAATAAGGGACGGGCAGGGTAAATCAGGACAGTCGTCCCTCATTTTGTAGAAGTGTTGTAGCAGCAAAAGTAATAGAAATATTGCGAGACTAAAAATAGGGGCCTAAAGTTAAACATTTTTACTATCTATGTAGCACAAAGCAAGTTAAGAAATCATACATATACTACCTCTGAAAAAAGTGTGTGTAAAAAGTGAGATTTTGGTAAAGTACTTCTGCTAAGGTCTGTAGCAATAAAAATATTCACCGTATTAAAAAATGTTACTTACATAAAAGTTGCACACAGGTGTTGGCTTGGAAACATGAGTGAAGGCATTTGCGTATCTCATTCCAAAAAAAATTGTGACATGCTTCAAACATATTAAAATTGAGTTTTACTTCAAATGTCCTGGATTACCCCGTTACCAGGGGTAATTAAGGACGCTTCTATTTTGCATTTGGCTCCTTTCAAATAACATATGGAATTTCTTTGGAGATGCCTTATGATAGCCATGCAAAGGCCTTTTTATCAAAATGAGCCCAAACTTGTTTATGAAATGTTTCATGGGAAGAAGTTATTAATGAAAAATTCTCAAAATCATCCCTTATTACCCCATTCGACAGTATTTCTGCATACTGCATCTGTTACTGTTTCTTTAGTTACCTTCCTCTTGAGTTCAATATTTTGAAATAGAATAATGCATTGTTTAGGCATTCATTCATTTTTAACTTTGATAGTATATGAATCAGAATTGACTTTAGAAACAAAATAGAAATTTATAACTTTGGTGGGTCCACTCTCTGAACAGGGAATTAAGCTGTTAGTTTTACTTGATAACTAAATTGTTACTTTGTCATGTGGTTTTGAAAATGATATTTGCATCATACATTGTTTAATGTAAACCTATTCTGTTGTTTTTTTTTTTGTGCAGAGTAATCCTATGGTATCGTTGTGGCAAGGTGCTGGAGATGTGGCAGGCTCAATGTGCCATGGTAACGGCAGTAGCTCGCTTCATGACAGAAAGTAAAGAAGAGAACTGGATGTTGCCTCTGATGAACACTGCTTGTCTAGAGCTGCGCCTCCAGAGTATATCGGCTGATGCTCAGAGCGCCCGAACTGGTGCCACCAAAGCTGGAGAGCTTCTGGAGAAAACTGCTGACTGTCTGATGGCTTGTTTCAGAGTTTGTGCTGCAGACACGTGGGTTATACAATTTTCAATGTGTTAACACAACTGGCGTCTATACTTCAAAACAATCCTAGCCCTTGATTCACTAGTACCTACCTATAATTTCATGAAATACCACTTGTGTGTTGTGTTGCTTTGAATAGGGATGAACTAAAAATCTAGGCTTCACAGATTTCTTCTTTCAAATCCGTCGTGAAAGACGAAATCATGCTATCATATCATGACTGTGACAGTAGGGCTTAAAGCTTTTACAAAGTTGTTCTGTTTGTAGAAATTCTGCTATAAATGAGTGACAGGTCTGAGATGCTCCAGTATAAATTTCCCTTTTTTTTTAATTTGCAAGTATTATTTATTCAGAGCAATCATTTCTACGACAAAAAACAGAAGTTGTGAAATTCTACTGACCATCCAAAATCATTTCAAATGTTTGAATTTATTCATATTTACATCACAAAACCTAAAATTGTTTGTTAGTTAAGTCACTATGAAAAATTTATAATTTTTTCAGGCGCGCAAGTGAAAATGACACCAAGCGCTGGGGTTTGCTGTACTTGGTGAATCAGTTCTTCAAAATATATTTTAAAATCAACAAACTTAACCTCTGCAAGCCCATGATCAGAGCCATCGAATCCCTTGCATTCAAAGACCAATACCCACTCTCCCAGCTCATTACCTACAAGTACTACACGGGCAGAAAGGCTATGTTTGATTCTGACTTCAAAGCAGGTGCGTAAAAATCTTACACCTGCAAATTTGCCTCACCTTAACCTTCAATGATTTGTTAGCTTCAAATTTCAGCTGTACAATTTCTTCTGTCATCTCTGAGAAAAAAATATGCGTTTAAAAATTACTTTTTAAAGACAACACTTCTGAACAATCCAGTGTCTTGGATGTTACACATGTACAATGAATTTCTAATTCAACACGTTGACTACATAATGGTACATATGCGTACCACGAAATGTATTTCTCCAGGACGAAGTGGTGCATAATTCAGGTTGCCTAAAATCAGCCAAATCCAAGAACAAAAATGGCCAAAAAAGGCCGATAACCCAATATATACCGGTACTAGTTTATTTGCAGGTTCCGCTATAAAAGTTCCAATTATTTTCTTTTTCCAGTACGTACTTAAAATTTAATTAGGAAGTACCCCTATCATAAATTTTAGCCGGCCAACGCAATCGAAAAAAGTAAATCACGGAATTTGTCCGTAAAAAATGACCGTCTGGCAACCCTGCTTAAAAAAAGCACAAAAAATGAAATAATAGTACTAGATGAAGCAATCGTGGTCAACGTGTTAATTTTGAAATATTGAAGAAAAAAAATTATTTTTCAAAATTTTTTTAAGATATCAAAATTTTGTAAATTTTCAAAATTATTTATTCTGTCAATTGATTCATGCATTGTCTCTGACTTTATGCAATTGTGCAAAATTTCAGATCAATTGGACAGGTCAAATTGTGTCATATAAGGATGATAAGGTTTGTAGCAGACAAAATTATTTTTTAATTTTTTGTAATAATGAAAAAAAATGTTTTAATTTATAAAATTATTTATTTTGTCAATTGATTCATGCGTTGTCTCCAATTTTACGCAAGTGTGCCAAATTTCAGTTCGATTGGACAGGTAGAATGTGTGTTAAATATCAATTATAAGATTTGTAGCAGACAGACAGACAAAAAATATGCGTTTAAAAATTACTTTTTAAAGACAACACTTCTTAAGAATACAGTGCCTCCTATGTTACACATCTACAATGAATTTCTAATTTTATTTCCATGTATTAATAAAAATTAATTTTTAATTTTTTTAATATTAATATATGAAAAAATAAAATAAAAATTTAAAATTATTTATTCTGTCAATTGATTCATGCCTTGTCTTCAACTTTGCACAAGGGTGCAAAATTTCAGATTGATTGGACAGGTAGAAGTGTGTTGAATATCGATTATACGATTTGTGGAAGAAAAAATTATTTTTTGAATTTTTCTAATTACAAAAAAAATTTAATTTCAAAATTATATATTCTGTTGATTGATTCATGCATTGTCTTCAACTTTATGCAAGTGTGCCAAATTTTAGATCAATTGGACAGGTAGAAGTGTGTTAAATGTATCAATTATAAGATTTGTAGCAGACAGACAGACAAACAAACAAGAAGTGAAAAAGAGAAATGTTGTAATGATGTTTGCCAGCATGGCGTACCATGAAAAATTATGCTATTTGACATCAGCTAAACTGCTAAAGGATAAATTTTACAAGATTACGGAATAAGTATTTTCAACTATTCTAATTTTTCCATTAGTGTGTGTTTTGTAGGTATAAAAGTGGAGACAGAGATGTATTTCAGGAAATAGAATCTTGATATTTGTTCTGAATTTATAGAATTTATTTTACAGCTAACGAAGCTCTGAGCTTCGCCTTCCAGCGCTGCCCTCGCAGAAGCCACAAGAACAAACGCCGTATTCTCATCTACCTGCTGCCCGTTAAGATGCTTATTGTGAGTTTATTATGTATATATTCATGTTTCACTGAGATGGTTATTATAAACAAATTGAGATACTAGCTTCTTGCAGCCGTTTATTTAATCGTTACTGCGCACTCTGCATGTGATAGAATTAATCAAGTACAGCATAATTGAATAATTATTGAATAATTGAATATATTTAATTCAAATGTACTGCTTGCCGTGCATTCGCTGACATAACAAAGGGTTATGTCAGTGAATCCTAATCCTAACTCCGAATTCTATGTTGTAAAAATAAAAGTTAGTAGCTATTTTATTTCGGTCGTGCTGTTAAAATTTGTATTCTATTTTTCAGCCAAGCATTCGTCATCGTGAGTATATGTTGAAAGAGCAACGAGTCTATAGCGTTTTAATCTAATTGATTTTACTGTCCTTTTTTTCTGCAACAGGGCTACATCCCTAAGAAGTCTTTGTTGTTGAAGTACAACCTGAAGGAGTTCATGGATGTAGTGATGGCCGTCAAAACGGGCGATATCAGGCTACTCAACGATGCATTCGTACAATATGAGCGCTTCTTCATCGGCGCCGGCATCTATCTCATCTTGGAGAAGCTGAAGTCTGTAGCCTACAGAAATCTCTTCAAGAAAGTGTACGTGTCAAGATGATTGAACGGTTGTTGAAAATATTATGTTATACTCATAGTCCACTTGAGTGCATACGTACCGGCTCTGTAAACTCTTTATAATTAATGTCATTTTAGTTACACTTTAGCTCAGCTCTCTTCCGTGTAAAACATTCGCAATTTGTTTAAACTTGAATAACGAAGTCTAACTTTGTAAGCATTTTTATTGCTTTTTAAATGTATTTTAACCATATTAATCTCTGTAGTAGTATATCTGAACCATTCGTTGCTTAGTTTACTGTAAATAAAAGTTTTCGTGTCACATTTCTTTTTGCAGATTCTTGATCAAACAGTCACACCAGCTCGACATCGCCGTATTTACGCAGGCTTTGAAGTGGCTCCGGATGGAAGACATTGACGTTGATGAAACCGAATGTCTCTTGGCCAATATGATCTATGAGGGAAAAATCAAAGGTTACATTTCGCACGTTCACAAAAAACTCGTAGTGAGCAAGAAGGACGCCTTCCCTCCAATTGCAGCATAATTAATTTAATTCCTAATTTTAGCTTCGTAAGTAGAGTGATTCAGTACGGAATGCGTTTTCTTTACTTCTATGAAAACACTCGAATGCCTTCATTAATTACCCCCCTCCTTCAAAACAATGACGGCGGCAGTGGTCTAAACTCCACTGAAAGACAAGAAGAACATGACATTGTCCGGTGTCGCTGCTCTTGCGTATTAATAATTTAACTTGCAGTACCAGATATTCGATAAAAAATTAACGATCTTCATGATTTCTTTCTTTACCAAAATCCTAATTAGTAGAAGTATTTTTCAATTGTTAGAGGTGCTCGTGGTTTTAAAAGCGTTAATGTCAACTATTTTAAGATATCTGAACCATGACTCAATCAAAATATGAATTTTGTAGTGAATGAAGCTGATGCAAAATTTTTGGCTTTATATCGTTGTCCTTGTACTGTCCAACTGTCACGCATACTTCCAAAGATATGTTTTACGATTTATGGTATTTTAATCAGAAAATTTTTTGCGAGATCGCTTTATAAGAAATTTTTCTATATTAAAATTGCGTCTTAAATGCAAGTAGGAAGACCTAAAAGCGTTGCTACCTCTATAGTGCGGTAATTGCACCACACTCGCTAGTCTAGTTGTACTTGTACGCCGGCCGCCGATAGCCAAATCCAAACGTACGTTGGGACTGCCGTTTAAAAGTTATACACTATATATCGCTGCTTCTTCTTCGAACTGAAAGTGAGAAGATGTAGATTCGAATTCAATAATCATTGCTGAATGCCGAGTCCAGGTGTTGCAAGCGGTCTGCGCGTGACTTCTTCACCTTCAACCCGTCATCAATCAATCAATCACCCCTACGCCTGACCGCCAGAGTTTTCTTGAGTCTCGATCGAAGAGTGTCAGATCAGGCTGGTCGGCGCTTCTGAGTTCTGACATCACAAATTTTATGATTCATCAAAGAACATATATTTAGTTTTCCTAACAGTAGATCACAAGAGGTTAGAAATTAACTTTTGGTGCGTCCATCCTGCGAAGCTTTCGTAATCCTATTAGAGAAACAAAGATGTGCTGATTTATAATTATTTAATCTTCGAGCATGCAGTTGATTAACCTTATTACCTAGGTGTGACCCTGTGTCAATTACCTAAACTTGGCAACAACGACATTTGGCTCAATTATCATATTGCTTAAATAGCATCATTACGTTGTGACGGTTAGTCCGTTAGTGTAACTGTAATGTATTCAAATTCAAGTTGAATTTCCAGTCTTTGTTAACTACTGCGTACTTTGTTTATACCTACATCTTAATTGCAAACAATGGCCAGAGGCCGAAAAGCTAAAACAACAGGGAAGAGGGCTATCAAAGAAGATGACCAATCTGAATCTGGGTAAGCTTGACAATTTACAATTTTTTAACCAATGGCTTCAATGCATTTTCATGATTCTTTTGATGGTATTATTGCAGATTAACTACATCCAAAAAAAAGGGTGTTTTTTTTTAATTATATGTTTTTTGGGGTGTAGATTACGAATCTGAAATCCATTTTTGGCGGTCGGCATCGGAAAACCGATTTTTTTCGCGACTTACTAACATGGGGGTTACGTAACTTACGTTACCCACTCACCTTTGGTCGGCATCGGAAAACCGATTTTTTTTGCGACTTACTAACATGGGGGTTACGTAACTTACGTTACCCACTCACCTTTATATAAAGGGTCGGATACTCGGATTGTTCATCGAAATTTTACAAAAAGCTCTTACTCTTAGGTTGGGTTAAGTCAGCCAAGTTCCTTTTTTTAGATAGCATTTTGATCTAAAAGGAACCTGGGCGAACCAACCCAACCTGCGAGTTGGCGTTAGGTTGTGATCTCTCGATGTGGCAATGTATCTCCAGATTTATGGACAAAGAAGACGAAAATGTTACCCGTTGCACTGCAACGGGTAACATTTTCGTCCAATTTTTCGCCGATTTCGCAGATTTTAGGCATTTTTAGCGCGATTTTTGGGTCGGAAAAAAATCGGTTTTCCGATGCCGACCGCCAAAAATGGATTTCAGATTCGTAATCTACACCCCAAAAAACATATAATTCAAAAAAAAAAACACCCTTTTTTTTGGATGTAGTTAATCTGCAATAATACCCTTTTGATCTAAACATATTAGATTTTACTGCAATTTAAACAAAATTCCTGAAAAGTATAGGTAGATTTATCTGTAAAAATAACCATCAATCTGATGCCGGACAAATATATATAGGTATATAGGTATATATATTATAGGGTGAAGTGAACTTTGATGCATTCTTCAAAATTTCAAATGCCCCCTCATCAATTTCATATCATATGATGAGAAGTTGAGAAGGTCTTGCCACTTCCCACTTGTAGAAGAACTATTTGCCCTTAAAATTCTGAATGAAATTTCATGAATGATGTCAGGCTGCCAGGTGTTTAATTGTTTATCATGCAATTCTAGCTAGGATTGGCAGTAGTTATTGGTTCTTGGCAAAGTGCATTCAGTCCTGGTGAGTGGTGACAGGCTGCAGGGGGCAGTAATTCCAGCAGTGATTTTCCATTTTAAATAGGCCTTGCCTTGTCTGGTGGGCCAGTGGACAGTGGTGGCAGTCTAAACTCTAAATGCCTTCTAAATGAGCTTGTACGTTGTACCTATGTAACTTAGTAACTACTGAGGGGCATGGTGGCCAAAATAGGAGCTTGATCCCTCCAAAAGGAGCAAAATGCCTTCAATGAGTGCTCTACAGCGTTTCAGCACCCAAATCACTGTCATTTCCTTAACAATTAGCATTTCTTTGCCCTCAAATTAACACCCTCCCCAGCTCCCCTTATCCTCAGGCTAAGTGTGGAGCTGGAGCACTCCTGCCATCCTGGTTAATCTAAATGAACAATCACTTCCTGGAATTCCCCTGTGTTGCCTGGCAACCATTCCACCATGATCATGGCACTATGAGACTTTAAAGTTTAATTCTTACTTATACCTAAGCAAATACAAGATACACAAATAGTCATTCATGAAGTAAACTAAAAAATGGAGCAGTAAAATATCTTACTTGCTTCCAATGGTTGCAAAATCCTGCAAGGCTGCCCAGGCCACTGATGAAGGTGGTGTGGTGATAACACCAAGTACCATAAAATGGGGTAACTTAGACCACTTTCTTTTATAAATGATGCCATTTCTTTACTAGCTAAATTAAACTTGAATTGAAACGTGCAAAATACAGGTCTACTACTACTCTAGCTTCACTCACCATAAATTGCTGGCTCCTGCCTCTCATAGTCTTTATGTAATTTCAAAATAGTGATGGTCTTTGTTACCCCAGCTCTTGAGGTAACTTAGACCGGGTGGTAAAATCAATTATATTTTTTGGTAAAATAACTCCAAATAACTCCAGGTTTTGGTGCATTGTACTAGAACTCTCTTCTAGTTACATATGCAAATGACAAGCTTGAGGAAAGTGTCATAGTTTGCGAATGGGGGTTGCCGCCCCATAATGGGGAAATGTGACTACCTAATGGCAGCCCTGATGGGGTAAATATTGACTGGCTTGGAAATTAAGTTAAAATTACCATATATAAGACTCTGTAGTGTCTGAAACATAAAGAAAAAACATAAATAGGCTGTCAAATATAAAATATGTTATACCGGTATATGGTAATTTTATATTGACTTCCAAGCCGGTCTATGTTACCCCATCAGGGCTGACATTAGGTGGTCTAAGTTGGCCCCATTTGCAAACTATGACACTTTCCTAAAATTTGTCATTTGCATATGTAACTAGAAGAGTTCTACTACAATGCATCAAAACCTGGAGTTATTTAACCAAAAAATATGAGGGGGTACTCTGACAGGCTTTAAATAATAGCTTTTTTCATGGGTCACATTTTTAATTTTTTAACCTATTAGATATGCAACATTTTTAATTTTTTAACCTATTAGATATGCAAACTTTTTAAATCTTTCTATTGTGTTATGTAGCCTCAGTATTAGACCTTTAATGCCTTTTGACAAAATTTTTCTATGTCAAATAGTTTTTGAGTTTTGGGGGTTTTTGTTAAAAAACAAAAAGTGGTCTAAGTTACCCCGCCAGTCTAAGTTACCCCATTTTACAGTACTGAAGTAGAGTTAGGCACTTGCTAATTCAGATTAGGAAAAGAATTGAACAGAACACTTGGGCCACACCACCTCCAGCAAAAGATCATTTGACTCTGATAGAAGAGGAAGAGGTGATGCTATGCTAGCAAATGCCATGGTTTGTTAACAAAATGTCTGTTTTCTTCATTTGTACGACTGCTTAAGTTTAAATTTACTCCTAGTTTGAGTATTAACCTTCATAATAAACATTATTTCAACATAATACATAAAAAATTTTATTCTGATATTATGAATGCATGTGAAGAATAATGAAACTTGCATAACCTTAAAAATAGTTTCTACATTTAAATATTTTCCTACTTTTTATTTGTGTGCCAATATTAGTTTCTGTCTTTAACTTAAATTTAAAGCAATCTGTTAACAGCATTGTTTCAGTTAAGAGTCATAAAAAGATCCATCTCACAAAGCAAACCATGCGGGAACATAAGTACCATCAAACAGGGTAATAAGGGACAGGTGGAGTAAATTGGGCAAGTAAGTTTTAGAAAATTGCGGGTAAAAGGGACGGGTCATTTCGCAGGTCATTTTGCAAAATTCTGTTTCATGAGCATTTCTTTCAATTCATGGGTGGCTTTTGCCTAATTTTCCATCTATGATAGCATTTGATTTTCAGATCTAATATATGATATAGGTACCTATGCAATTTAAATGCCTTGGTATTGTATTTAATATATACTATTCTTGACAACACATCTTGAAGGCAAGGAAATCTGAGGACAAAGCTTGAAAAACAACATTTTGGGCTCAGAAACCTAATATGCCAGTGCCCAATACTACCTACCATACCATTCTACTTGATTCACTCCTTCAGTATACATCATTTTGAAAAATGCTCTAGAGTCTAAAGTAAAGGAATATTAGAATTGCTCATAAATTCTTGTAGTAGCATTTGTACATTGAAGTTATTCATATACTGTCTGCTGGCTGAATGGTTGATGTATGAATAAAGTTTTAATCAAAAGTACTTCTATTGCCACTTTTATAATTATCTTATTGTCATTTGTCTATGTAATGGTTGTAGCCAGGTCATTTTTATCATATGATTTTCAATTATGTTGATTCAGATCTTGTGTTTCAGTCCTGCTGCAAAGCTTCCTCGTGCGGACAGTGAAAACACTCAAATAAGGAAAGCTGCTGAAGCTGCAGCATCTTCTGAAGCCTCCACTGGAGAACACAATGTGCCTTTAGATTCCTTCTTTGCCAACCACCTTGGCATGATCAATGGCAAGGCACATCAAGACTATGCCTGCATGCTCAATCAGGCTGATGTCATCAATAACAACAATAAATTCTATGTGATTCAGATGGCCAAGAATGGAAAAAAGTATCATGTCTTTAATCGATGGGGTAGAGTGGTAAGTTCCAAATTTGCATTTTTGGCACAATACCGTAGTATTGAATATTAATTTCAAATGTGGTATAGGTAGGCATATATATATATATACCTACCTATATGTATGGCTTATATCCCTAGGTCAAAATATGCATATATATATATGTACATTAGTGTAGTTAGGCAGAAGTTCTTCATTTATACAGGTTTGGTTGAAGACAGCAATAAAATGTCATTCGGTAATCTACTTTTTGATCTCCAAGCTCCAGCTAGAAATTTTGTTCGGCTTATCGAAAAGAACAATAAGAAAATCGTAAATAAAAAGTACGCTCTGGTCTTCAACCAAACCTGTATATATGTACATATATACGTACTATACTTGATTTTTCAATCATCTGTCCTAAATTATTTTTCCAAAATTTTTGCGACTTGAAATTTTGAAGGCTCCTAAAAAACCCTAAAATCTCGATACGTAGTTCAAGTGAGTGATTTATTGTTGCTGTAACTTATCATGCAAAATATGAATGGGTCAACAAGCTAAACTAATTTGGTTATTTTCTTCTGTTTGAAGTTCCATTTTTTGTTTCTTTACAATAAAAATTGATATGTACTTATTTCCAGGGTGAAACTGGACAAATGAACTTTTCTGAATTTACATCAGAGGAAGAAGCTGTGAAGAATTTCTGCAAGAAGTTCACAGACAAAACTGGCAACAAATGGGAGAACCGAATGAAATTTGTCCCAAGAACAAAAAAGTATACACTGCTGGCCATGGGTGAGATTAATTTTTTTCTTCAAACTTCATGTATGATGAAAGATTTATTGGGAGAATGTATGATGAAAAAGTTATTGAGAGAATGAGTGTAGTAACTTTATTCTAAATCAGATAATGCTTGTTGGTGGTTTTGATTTTATGTTGTAAATTGGAACAGTTATGTTTCAAGTTGTTACTACCGCTTCCATGTGCATTAAAAGTCAATATTTGGCTTGGAAGTTGCAAATTATTCAACGGTTTCTTGATGGAAAAAATTCAGGTTTTGAGGTCCTTGTGGCTGTGACGTTGTATGCTTGTAAATAACTTTTTTATGAATGTAACAACGTTTTTTATTCTATTAACTTCACTTGAAGCTATTTGTAGAAAAAGTGAGTAAATAATTTGTCTTCGTGATTCATAAGTTTGGCATATGCTCTAGCATTTCCATTGATCTAACACAGACATGTCTATGATAATTACAATAAAATTAATTAATTCATTTCGCCAAAATTATGGTGTCTACGTCTTCATTTAGTCGTCAATATCAATCAAATTTAAAATATAGTTTTCTGTGAGCAGACTCCACAGAAGATACCGTGGACAGCAGTGCTGCAGTCAAGAAGGAGGTTAAGAAAGAGACGGATGATATGCTGCCTAGTGAGCTGGACCATCGCACCCAGCTTGCTATCAAACTGCTATTCAACAGCAACATGTTTGAAGCTCAGATGACTGAGATGAATCTTGGTGAGACTAATGTCCTTTTTCATTGAATTTTGCTTCTTAATCTGGTTTGATTTTATGCATAGTAGCAATTTTGCTTGTTTCTGTAGATTGTTGTTCTGTTGATTGTTGTTTCTGTAGGTGGAATTTTGTTTGCAAGAATTTAGAACATGAGAAAATGACAAGTTTATGTTTTTAACTGGTAATGGAGCTTGTCCGCAAAATTATGTACCACCTAATGAATTTACTAACGTCAGAAAACTATTGTTCAAAATATATTTTTCTCTATGACATTATAGTACATGTTATTTATTGCTAGATCACTTTAGCTTCACTACTACTGCAAGCTGAGTAGAATTTCACAGTGGTCATGCAAGTCAAGAAGTAATTAGCTTCAGGCACGAATATAGGAACAATTATTATTTGTATATATTCTTGTCTAGTCTCATCATGTGTCTGTTTCTACTTGTTTTACCCATGAGTTCTTTGTAATAGTTGTATGTTTAGCTTCTCTTTAAAATTATTTCCTGCTATAACCTAAGTCCGTAGTTATAATACTAGATTTATTACCTTTATATTTTGTGATATATATGGCAATGTAGCATGCTAACATGTGTGACTAAATTGACAGGTTTGAAGTCTTCATGTAATGAAGTCTTATAGTTTAGTGATGTTGATCTTGATTTGAAAAATATTCAGTACAAAATGAAGTTTCGTTTCTGTTGAAGGTTTGTATAATTTAGGTTAATTTATTGTAAGCATTAGACATGAACTGGTTGTTAACAGCAATTATCTTGGCTGAATGCTGCGTTGATGATCATTACCTCTCTTCAGACATTCGCAAGATGCCGCTGGGTAAGCTGAGCAAGACCCAAATAGCTAAGGGCCTATCAGCTCTTGTTGACATCGAAGAGGCTGTCAAGAACTCTGTAAGCTTTTCTCTCTCGTATGGACAATTAATCAGTTTCGTGTGCACGGGTGCTGGCCTCTCCAAATCATTTTCGTAATAGGGTTTTGCAGTCTCAGTTTCATTCTTGTTCAACAAGTGGTGATGTGCAAAAGGAAATCATTCTGCATCTGATAAATATCTATTGATGGTTTACATTGTTCACATCTTGGTGTTGTTATTGTTTAATGAAGTGTTGAACAAAAATTCTATGAGTTCAGCTTATAACTACTAGATAACAATCGTGTTGATGCATATTGCATGTCCATGGCGTGCTTATTCCCTGTAAATGTTCATGTTTGTAGCTATATATAATGCATGTATATATATAGTTGATGATGGTTTTACTAGAGTACCTAGTTCTTCTCACATAAGTTTTGCACTTCGCATTAAAGTTGTCGACCAGTATGTAGTCATCCATATGTATTGTGCTTTGTTCTTATTTCCTCGAATAAGGTTCTTGGTCCTTGAAAGTTACTTTTTTTCAATTGGCTTTAAATTCAACATGAATAGAAAATTGGATAAATCGCAAAATCCTCTGTGCTTTCGTCCCGCACGCTTTTACATATATTGTGACAATATCTTTGTTGAATGTAATTTCTTCTCCAAACAGAGAAATGCTATATAAATCAACCATAAATATATACTACATTAGAATGCAATATCTATTTATCTTGATGTCGCGGTGTTCTCAATTGCTATAAACGTTAAATCATTTCTTAAGGTGAAGTACATGAGTACACTTTACCTACGGTATATAAATGTGGAAACATTATAACAGGTGTAGGTAAGATAAACTGATTATGAATGATTTATTGTTTTGTAAATATTTATGATTATCTTTCAATTGGACACTTATTAAATTCAACGAAAGTGTTGGTTATTATTTGAATTTGATTGGTGTAACATAAGGATGTTTTGAACTGGAATTGAGTTTAAATAACATATGTAATGGAATTACGCAGGTATGAATTTCTGCGTTGTCTCATCTCGTACATGAATATTAGCTCAATTAAGTTTTCCTAAATTCAATTGCTACAGAAATTCTGATTTATTTATAAAACATCCTTTTTAGGAGAGTTTCGAGACCATAGCGAACCTCACGAGTCGCTTCTACACTCTCATCCCGCACGCGTTCGGCCGCATGAAGCCGCCGGTGCTGCAGTCCCTGGACGTCATCAGGCAGAAGAAGGACGTCATGCTCACCCTCAGTGACATCGAGCTCACGCAGAGTCTGCAGAGCGCAGACGTGAGACTTGTAGTTCAGTTATAAGATTCTTTTTTGGGATGATCTTACGCAGTTGATGCAACAGTCAACGGGGAAAAATTGGGCAGATTAATGACGGAAGTTGACACATTTCGAAGCTCAGTTAATTCAGCCTTTGTTTTTACCTTATTTCGGGTCATAGGATGCCACAAAAGTTTTCATCCACCTTGATTTTTAGTCCCAGTGTGTTGAGTGCTGTTTTCCGCATAACCATATGCAGTTGGTACTTGCAAAAAAAAAAAACTTCATTCAAATCGTAATTTATTTCTAAAGATCATTTTCTGGGAAAATTGGGTCGATACCTCAAGAATCTTGTTTTCAGTTGTTTGCCTAAATTTTTTATTTTTATATTTAAGGCGCAAGGGGCCTGAATCGTGGCCTTTTGTCAGCGTAAGCGCTATTATGGGAGAATGAAACTTAGTACTTTCATATTTCAGGAAACCGAAAAGAAGGAAAAGGCAGAGAATCCCATCGATAAGCACTACAAATCTCTGAAGTGTGACATGAAGCTCGTACCTCACTCGTCGGAAGAGTTCAAGGTGAGTCTTTATGCATTATTTATATAAGCCATTAAGGTCTCATTAAAAATTTTTTTTTATCTCTTCAAAGTTTAAGCTTTATTAGATATATCCTCATGTCTGTAAAACTCTGAAATTTTGATTACAAATATGTGCATACTTCCTACTGTAGATATAGAGTTCATGTACCTACATGATATATATGAACAAATGCTATATGAATTTATTTTCAGTTTGTCTTGAATGAAATTTTATTTTGGTTTGTTTTTCGATGAATCAAGAATGACTGGCATGGTGAGCTCAAATTTTCTCGTATAGACCAGATATTCGTAAATGCTAGAGTTATCAGCAAATCAAGTTCACGTGTGTAATGTATATATTTTTTACCGTAATGTATACTGGCCAACGTAACTATAAACGTTGGTTTAAACGGAAATATATTTTGGCTAATTTACTTGCTTCATTGTGACTAATGTTCATTATTTATTGACAGGTAATCAGCCGATATGTGGCGGGCACGACGCAGAGCGGCTGGAAGCTGGCCGACGTGTGGCGTCTAGACCGCGCCAACGAGGGTCACAGGTGATGGGCTGCCCTAAGCGTTTGAACAACGGAAGAAGATGGAATTGAATGCAGGAAGAAAGATGAAATTAGATTTATGGGAGATAGGATTAGATTTATGGCAGGAAGATGGAATTATATTTATGGCAAAAAGATAGAATTAGATTTATGGCAGGAAGATGGAATTAGATTTATGGCAGGAAGATGGAATAAGATTTAGGGAGGAAGATGGAATTAGATTTATGGCTGGAAAATGGAATTAGATTCAGAGAGGAAGATGGAATTAGATTTATGACAGGAAGATGGAATTAAATTCAGGTAGGAAGATGGAATTAGATTTATGGTAGGAAGATCGAATTAGATTTAGGAAGTTGCGGTGAAGTCATGCATGCAAACCAGGGAATAGGTAACTAAGGGGATGATGGAATTATAATTAAGGGAGGAAGTTGCGGTGCTGTCGTTAGACAATGAGGAAAGTGAATCCTAGTGATTAACCGAATAAAAAATTGGTGGGTTTTTAAGGTGAAAGGCTGCTGTCACAGACTGCAATGTCATCAGAACTCATTGCAAAAACAGAAAAAACGGTGTCGTTTAACGTTGTTTCTAAAGCCCAACCAATAAAACGTCTCTCCTAAAGTCAAGACAACTGATGTGATGACAATTTTTAATGTTTTTTAAAAAGCAATAATTGAAAGAAAAAGAACCGAGCTTAGTGTGGCTTATTCACCAAGATTCAAAAGATATACTCGTATAAACAAAAAATATTTGAGAAGAGAAAAATCTTTATTTAAGGATTTGAATTTCAGCTCAATAGTGATCAATACAATTGGTATTATTTTTGCTCGCTGTCCAGTGTCTCCCAATAGTGCAGGGTTGTTTTCATTTTTTCTTGTTTAAACTTTTTTCAATGAAAATGAAACAGCTTCTTCGGGAAGTCTCTCTTTGCTGTGCCATCAATTTGGCATACTCATTTTCATCTTTTGTTACAAGAACTCAAGATTTGATAAACATATACAATGTACACTTGCAAGAACAGTGAGCAAGAAAACAAATTTAATTGATCTCTTCATTACTCCACATTTTAGTTCCAGTGTGAACTTCAAAATTGATTTTTTTCAATAGGTTATGTAATTTTTTTATTCTTGATAAATGACAATAAAACAATTGCATTTTCTTAATACTTTGAGAGCAGGTTTAGTGTGAACGACGGTCTGAAGGAGCGCAAGCTGCTGTGGCACGGCACGAACGTTGCGGTGGTCGCTGCCATCCTCAACTCGGGGCTGCGGATCATGCCGCACTCCGGGGGCCTGGTGGGCCGCGGCATATACTTCGCCTCGGAGCACAGCAAGAGCAGCGGATATAGTGAGACTTCAGAGTGGGGGGACAGTTTGGAGTGGGCAGATGACGCTGTGCGTCATTACAATGCAAAGTGGGCAGATGATGCTGTGCGTCACCACACTGTAGAGTGGGCAGATGATGCAACGCGTCATTACAATGTAGAAATATATTTCATACTAAATAGAGAAATTTAAGTTCCCATCCTACGTTAACAAAAATCTCTAGTACATGAAAAAGGTAATTTGAACACAATCAAAATTGAGAACCAGTTTACACCACTAAAATCTCTCTATTTACCAGAACGTTGATACATTGCAGTTCCGTTGAGCCGCACGACTGTTGCAAACGACCGTATGATACACGCACACTTTGCGGCTGTAGGTTCAGCGGCCGTACCGCTGCTGTATTCTCGCGTCCCCTTTTACAGTTGCTCTGCCTTCATAGCCGTATTTCCCGCGCTACAGTGATGTCTCACGGCCGGTCTAACCGTAGAATTTATGACGACCGTACTTCGGTTGATGACTGTGACCGTCCCGATGATAATTCTTGCGCCGAGCTCGAAAACTTGAATCTTCTGATGACGGGCGTTATAGTCGTTGTACAACTCGCGGCCCTCTCGCATTGTCTCACAGCTGAGTCGCAGCCGTAGTGTTGATGTTGATTCTTGGCGTGCTCACAGGACTCGTAGTTGCCTCGATAAGTCTAGGTTTCTCGCGACCGTCAATGTTCGAAAACGGCAAACCGCAGGCCTCACGGCTGCGGCCGTTGCTAAGTCCGCTGACTGCAGACCGTGCTTGCGTGACGGTCACCTCCTTAGAACAGCCCTTGGCGCCAATTTTAAGGCCTTTTTTTACGCTGGTGTCGCGCACAGTTAAGCCTAAACCCTCGAAGTGAAGCCGCATTCCTCGACTGGAATTTCCCCCGCGCTGGGCTTGCCAACGCTCCACGTGAACTAACTCGTTCCCACGGTCTCGAAACAACCACGCCTTACACACTTGCTATATCGCTTCGACCCACATTCTTAGCATTCGTAACACCTATGCATAATACATGTTCAATATTACCTACTTTATTCAAAATGACGCTGTGCGTCATTACTCTTTAGAGTGGGCAGACAAGGTGCTGTTGAACTTTAGATAAGATAACAGCAGTAATTTATTCAAGTAGTTTTTATAGTAAATGCAGTGCGGAGGTTCCTGATGACTCTAAATTGTAGTAATGAGTTGCAGCGAGTATAGAGCAATATGAATAAAGTTATCACGCTTCTATATTTGTTAAGCAGTTACCTTTCACTTTCACAGGAAAAGTTTCAGAAGCATGTGATGAAATTCTACCTTTCCTATACTATTTTTGCAGGTTTATTCGTCTTAATTGGAAATCTTTTTCGCAGCTTGTGGACACTATGGTTTGTTCGAAGGAGAGAAAAACATCCGCTTCATGTTCCTGGTGGAGGTGGCCCTGGGCAAGAGCCACGAGATCACCGCGTCTAACAGCTTACTGAGGGCAGCACCCGAGGGTTTCAATAGCATTGTGGCTCGAGGCAGGAACGAGCCTGGTAGGTGCCCAGCTGCGTGTGGTGTATCATCTGTCTAGGAAAATATCATAGCATGTGCTTTAATCTTTATACGTAACGACGCAATTTTTTTTTCTTACGTCACGACGCAAGATAAGTATTCCTGGAGTTGAAATTTTGTTATCAGGACGCCAAGAGCGTTTTTTCTTGGTGTTTAGTACTGTGCTACTTGTGTTTCATAAAGTATGCCTGAAAAATAATTGTTTCCAGAATGTTGTCCTTACTGACTTCAATCATTTAGGCTGCCAAGACGTGTCATGTGTCATCTATCAAATAATTCTACTTGTAGGAATTATCTCGTTAATATTCGGGATCTTTGTCGCATAAAATCAGAAGGATACTATGGTTTTATGAAATGATGTTGTTTAAATACGAGTACTTCATGCAAATTTAATTTTATCATATTTATTTTGGAAATTTTGTTTTCCTTCTCAATCAAGATCATATAATTTTAGCCCCTGGTGATATTTTCGCTTTTAAGTTAAGAAGACAGTTACATGTTTTTTCTATTCATTCACCATTTTTCAGATCCGAAGAAGAATGTTACACTGGAGCTTGATGGTAAGAAGGTTGTGGTGCCGGTAGGTAAACCTGTGCCGCAGACCAAGTTCAAAGACAGTGGATTTATACAGAGCGAATACCTGATTTACAACGAGCATCAGGCACGGCTGAGGTTCCTTCTCAAATTCACCGATTAAAATCCCCCTCCACTTGCAATAAAGTCATTGTAAATCCTCCTCCACATGCGATCAAGTCATTAAAAATCCCCCGCCACATGCGATCAAGTCATTAAAAATCCCCTTCACTAGCAATCAAGTTATTAAAAATCCCCCTTCACTTGCAATCAAGTCATAAAAAATCCCCTTCCATTTGCGATCAAGTCATTATAAATCCACTTCCATTTGCGATCAAGTCACTAAAAGTCCCCTTCTATTTGCGATCAAGTCATTAGAAATCCCCCTTCACTTGCGATCAAGTCGTTAAAAATCCCCATCATTTGCGATCGAGTCATTAGAAATCCCCCTTCCATTGCGATCAAGTCGTTGAAAATCCCCCTTCCCTTGCGATCAAGTCATTAAAAATCCCCTTCCCTTGCGATCAAGTCATTAGAAATCCCCCTTCCCTTGCGATCAAGTCGTTGAAAAATCCCCCTTCCCTTGCGATCAAGTCATTAAAAATCCCCTTCCATTGCGATCAAGTCGTTGAAAATCCCCCTTCCCTTGCGATCAAGTCCTTAGAAATCCCCCTTCCCTTGCAATCAAGTCATTAGAAATCCCCTTCACTTGCGATCAAGTCATTAGAAATCCCCCTTCCCTTGCAATCAAGTCATTGGAAATCCCCCTTCCCTTGCAATCAAGTCATTAGAAATCCCCCTTCCCTTGCGATCAAGTCATTAGAAATCCCCCTTCCCTTGCAATCAAGTCATTAGAAATCCCCCTTCCCTTGCGATCAAGTCATTAGAAATCTCCCTTCCCTTGCGATCAAGTCATTAAAAATCCCCCCTTGCTTGCGATCAAGTCATTGAAAATCCCTCATAACTTGCGGTTAATTTCGAGGTTCCTTCTCATGTTTACTGATTATATTCACGAACACATGACAAGAAAACTTAGGGCTTTTTTCTCCCATTTGCTCCCATAGTCAACATCGTAACACCAGTCAGTATAATTCAAACTTCGTTAGGATGTTAGCATACATCCAGCGAATGGGAACACTAGTGTGCAATTCTAATTGCAAGTTTGAGTTGAGTTAGCGTGTCTCACTGCTCTGAAGTTGTGGTTGTTTGTGGTCCACCTAAGAATAGTTCGTTAGAAGTTCTGTGCAGCTTCTTGCTAATGAACGTGAAGTTTATGTTGAATTGTTTTAAATTTGTTGTTGAATTTGTTTATAAATTTGTTGTTAAATTTGTTTATTAATTTGTTGTTTGATTTGTTTATTTTTTAGTCTTGTTGTATTTATACATGTTCTATTGAAAAGCAAGTAGGGCTTTCAGGATTTACTTCCCAAATTATACTCTAGTCGATTCCCATGGTGAAATTAATATTTTTGTTGAAGTTTGTATGTTATAAACTAAAATTTTATGAGATGTCCTCCACTACCAGGCAAAATCAAAAATATTCTATTAGATCCTCACGTTTGTGATGTCTTTTAGAAGAGCGTCGATTCTCAATGATTGCATTTTTTTTCTTTTTTGTATTTGGGTGTTAGAATTACATTTTTTATCAGCTTGCTTGTGAACTTCTTAATTTATAAATGTAATCTTTTGTTTACTCTGCAGTACCTACAAGGTTTGAATTACTGCTCTCTCATGGTAGTATTGAACTCGTACTGGAAAGTTAGTTGATATGCGTTCAATCTTTATTTCTGAATTTCATCATCACCAAAAAGTTCGTGTTGTGATAAACTTAATAATTATACAACGTCACTATCGTTCCGTGTGTGCATCCTCACCAAAACATTCGTGTTGTGATTTTCCCCTTTGTATGATTGCATAATTTTATAAGGTTATAATCGTAACGAGTGCAGTTATAATTATACATGTGCAGTCGACAAGGGTTAAATCTACCACAAAAGCGTGATTATTGAATGACCCACTGACAAATTTTTTTCTTTGTATTCTATTGCGAACGAAACAAAGTTCTGCAATTTCGTTGTGTGGAACAAAATTGAATCTTGTGTACAAGTCCCTCACAAATTACATTATAAACTTCTGTGTCAGTATTCTTCACTCAGGTATCATGTCTTCTCGAACTTTAGATTATTGCAAGTCTTGACTTCCAAAGGGTATCACAAATTTTACCAACCTTCAAATTTCTTTTCATGTTTCTCACATTCCAATATGCTTGAGCTATACATTTTTAGAATTTCAAATAATTACGCGCAACATTAGCTGAGCAGGGAACAAATTGTTGTGGTAGAGCATTACCTACGTGTGGAGGCTTCGTCTCTGAGCAAACCTCCATTTGCATTCGTCCCTGTGTGTACTATTGTTGACAGTTGTTGACAGTTGTTAACTAGTTTCTTCATTTTTGGAGGAAGGCTTTTTAGACAAAAGCATGTACGCAAATTTGTTACTCTAGTGTTTATTGATGTATTTTTTGATCACTACCTGTGTGGGTGCAAATGTGTCACAAAATAAAAAGCGTGAAAACGTTGCTAATTTTTGTCCTCTCGAGCTGATCGTGAAGCTCGTCTGTGCGGCAGTGCTGGTCGACGAGCTTTCCCTATTCCGGTATCCAAAGGGGGTAGCCATCTTTCTGGTACCGAGGTATACTTAGCTCCAAGATACTCTTGATGGAATTGTTTCAAGTTTGTGGTAATGTGCCATGGGCCATGCTGCTCACTTTTTAGCGCATTTTCTCATTTATGGAAAAAATGCACTGTTGTGCTCGCCATGTCCGTCTGTCTGTCCGTCCGTCTGCCCGTCCGTCCGTGACCTTAAGTTTTCGTCGACGAGAAAATGCGCGCTGTCACTCACTGCAGTGAGTACTGAGTTTTATTTTTTCTCTTATATATCGTGGGAATCTAGCATTTCAATAGGCATTTTATTCTGTTACAGCGTAGGTTTAATTCAATGACCGAATAATTATTTCAACTCCCTAGCTCTCGAATAAACATTTTCATCCGACTTGCCGCAGGGGAGAGGCCCCTGGCTTCAAGGGGAGTTAACGTTCCCCCGGACCCCGAGTCGCAAATTCCGTCAAAATCTCAACTCACGTTCACTTCAAACGTCTGTGTAAACGAAGCATCGTCTGGCCTAATATACGTAGAACACATGATAATAACTTGCAGCGTGAACAGCCTCTTCGAGCCTGTAGATGCAGATTGATTTCTAGAGTGACAAATTTGAACCTTTTCTAATCGGCATCAATGCATCAATTGGTTTTTTAGTAAACTGCATATCTTGACTCAAGTGACAATTTTTTTTGGATCGTATAAACTATCCATATGTTGGCTGATGAATGCTCTACTGTGAAAATCAGTCCAATTATCTCTGCTTTGAGTGAGACTAGTTTTTGAGACAGCTAGTGAAAGTATCTTGGATACGATAGGGTAGAACGATGGGAAACAAATTGTAAACATAGGGTTAAATTTTCTTCGTCAATACAATATTTTTCTACAAACTAATTAAGATTTCTTGCGCGCCTTCTTCTGGCTCGAGGAGACTACGTCTCGAACTTATCACACCGCGTTCTACCTACGCCAAAAGGGTATACGAAATTTTTCCTAGACAAAATTTTCACGTTTTCCTAGCACTGCATTATTCTCTGCTCTTCCAAATGAAGTATTCCTAAATTTTCCAGACAACGGCACGATAGGAAATCTGTATAATGATTGACCGCCGCCATAATAATGATATCATCGGTTATGCATACGCGCTCACGGTGACTGTTGGTGGAGCAATCGGCTACCTGAAGGCAGGTCAGTCTATTCACTATGAATCTCTCTATTCATTGTGACTCTGTTTACTTGCGGTGATTTTGTAGAATTTTTAATATTGTACTCTCCAGTCATTTGGCCACGATTATTATTATTAGCATCTCTTTTTATGTACTCATCACTATTTGTGTCAAAAACTTTGGAAACCAGTTCCGTCATTTCAAAGTCCGGGAATGCAAGAAAAACTAATTCTTCAGAAAAAAATATCAAGTTGAAATTAAAAACCCGAGTTGACTACTAAAAAATACTACTAACGTACAAAAATTATTTGCAATTTTTTACGTATAAAAATAACGTTTTCAATAATATTCTATAGAGGTTTTTTCCCCCTCAGGGGGGACTTCTGACGTGTGTCTGTGCTCGTCAGAAGTCCTATGGGATCTCGCGCTCCTAGGGGGATTGTTCCTGAGCGCCCCGCCGTTGAGCTCGCGGTGTCTGACTGCAGATCTCAGTTGTGGGGTTAAGTTATTATGTAGGTAGGATTCCTTACATTTCCCTTCTCTTTCTCTCTCGTGCGGGCGGCCGACGTCCCGTGTAAGCGACCTCTTGTTCGAGTGTCTTCGTTTCTGTTGCTTTTCACCTGTCCCTCCTTGTCACTTCGTCTCTTTGAGATGCTAACGCTGCTTCTTTCGAGCCAGCTTCAGCGGGCTGGACATCTGAGACCTTCCGCCCCTTGTGGGTGATGAATAATTGAGACCTTCCACCTCTATGGTGATGTTCATCTTGACTTTCGGTGCGAGATAGCTAAATAGCTCAACCGCTAGTAACCATTTGGCCACTAAACTAACTAACTAACTTGAGATTTTGAATAATTGAGACCTTCCGCCTCTTTGGCGATGTTATATTTTGACCTTCGGTGCGAAATAGCTTGACAGCTGAAGCGCTAGCAAACCATAATACTACTACTACTCTATAGAGGTTTTCAATGAAAAAATTGCTGATTCTAATATCCAGGAACCGAAAGCAGTGGGTGTTCAAAAGCACTTTAAGGCGCCGACGTCGCATACTGCGTGAATGCCTATAACTGTATGAGGTGGATGCGCAATACGAATTCTAGTACGATAATCTCAACTTGTGTCATCGACTCATTTGTTGTGAAGCTGTGTTTCGTCATAACGACAAACGCTGAAGCGCAATGGGCGCTTTACAATACTGGACTGCTTGTTGTGTTGGCGCGGCTGATTCAGCACCTTAGTGCCTGCTGTTGGCAGCTCGTAGTGTTGTTGCCAGTTTATAAGCAGAGGGCATGTTATTGACAGGAAGTCTACCCTCCCTTGGTGCTGGCATTGTGTTCGGTACCGCCCTTTGCTACGGCGCGTATCAGCTCAGCGAGAACCCAAAGAATTACCAGCTCAGCCTAGGCACCTCCATCCTGCTGGGGGCCTTCATGGGCGCCAGGTTCTACAATAGTGGCAAATTTATGCCTGCCGGTCTCATCACTACGCTCAGGTATGTGCCACTATTTAAATAATTATTATTTATCTTCAATATTGATTAATTAAATCATTAATAGCTTCCTGCGGACGATAATTTAGTCTGTCTCAGCGGATTTCTTGTTAAGTGTCTTGTAACTGTCAACCAAAAGTGGTACTTAAGTTACCATTCACATACCAAGAACATTAGTAGAAATATTCTTAAATATGAAAATTCAAAATTGTAGCAATTATGACCTGCAAGGATGAGTTTCGTACGTATTACACCAAGCGCCACCTTGGTATTTTTACGGTAATTTCTATCAAGTCTGTTATTCAATCAAGTTTCAATATTCGTATATTTTATTTGAGCAGACTATGGTCCCTTACCATTTAGTACTGAGATTGTTAACTTTAGAATACCTCGAAGCTGTGGCATATTATCGGGCTGCCAAGCGCTTATCGTTTGACTGCGGACTCGCAAGAAAGCACGATTAGGTTTCTTTCCAATATCTCGGGTGAATACCGGTACTTTCATCCTCATTTCTGCTAATTTTTGTGTTGATTGATGCATGCTGGAAAATTTACCTGTACTCACTACAACCGTCGCCGGTTCAAACGGACGTGCGAGTCATTTCGAATGAATATCATAAATAAGTCTCTTTATCTTCCTGCATTATTTGATTTGTAAACGTATAAATATAGTGACTGAAAAGAGTCAATAATATACAAAATGTATGTAGTTTGTTTTTAGCACGAAGGGTCCTGAAGAATTGGTCATTTCGTTGCAGTTTGCTGAACGTTGGGAGACTTGGTGCCCGCGCCATGGGGTGGCTGCCTGACTCTCGGTTCTGAGCCTTTCAGGTCAACTTGAACCACTTTACGAACATGAGTAGTTTTCTCGACATTTTTATTCATGTTTCATGAGACTTGCTTCTTGGCGAATTATTCGCCACTTGTTCATCGAACTAAATGGTGAGGTTCGAGTCAACTTCAGTAGGTTATTAACCCTAGTGACGTCATAGGCGTAGTTTTTCTAGGAGCCACTTGCACAATGGCTCATAACGAGCTCAAAATTGGCCTCGTATGCTCCCGTTATTTGTGTTGAGGTTCAAACGCACTATTTTTTAAAGGTTAGATTTGTGCACAAATATTCGTGGTCTATGTTATTCGTCATACATTTCTTGAAGTTATAATTTCTCTGATGGCCCGTTCCGTCTAATCTTTAATAAAAACTTTGATACTGTTTTTCGTTGTTTTATTTCGCCATGATTATATGATACCATGCCTAACAATCCTCTAGCACCTGTTTTGTTCTCTACGCTTGATCTGCCGTAAATTTCTTCATTTGACCTAATGGGTTTCGATGCAGGTGAAAGAAGATAGATCCTAGAGTGGCCTAGACGATCAAGAATAGAACGGTACATGGAGGATGAATCCATGTCTTGTTAATTAAAGCTGACGAAATAGACGAATATTGCGTGCTCTTCCTTTGATATGATTTTCGCTAATGAAAGCTATCAAGTTTTTGATTTGTGTAAGTTTGTTGGCCAAGAAAGTATAAATTCTGATTTTCTCAACCACATGAAGTTTGATGTCAGGCGGACATGCACTGCTGAAATGTGTCCACCCAAAGACTTAATTTATTCAGTTTGTTGGCGCGGTCTGATTAAGAACAAGACGAGCAGTCTTCAACAAGCAATGTTGACGTCTATAATCCTGAGGGCTTCTACTTCACGTTAGGTTAAATATAGTGTCTGATGAATTTATTTACTTGTCACGTTAATTGAAATAGAAATATTTTTCCATTATGTAGTCTCGACTTTTCAAGCTGATTTTCCATAATGATGAAAAGTCAAAACCCTGTTTTTGGGCAATGGCTGCTTCAGAAGTCAGTGGGGAGAAGTGGCTTGTAGAATTTCAGCGACCGTTGAGCGGCCAGTAGCTGGTCACCAACTAGCGGTCACCTGATTGACTGAGAATGAAGCCAATAATAATAATAATAATAGCGGTTTCAGCTTTTAGTTGGCCGTAGGCCTGTCGCCGATTCTTATCATCTCAGAACATTCACAGAATTTTACAGTCTCGAACTCGCAACTTACTGCTGTGCTTAACCGCCCGGCCTCCATGCCGATTCTGACCAGAAACTGGCGCACAGAGCTGGGATCGAACCCGCAGCTCTCTGCTCCAATCTTGGCTACTCTGAACTGTAACCACTGGGCCATTGAGTGACAGAATAAGGTTCATATTGAGTGACGGTTCGCTTCTTTCTAACCTAGGGTATATTTTAACACGTGAAAAAGTTTAGAATTATTTTTGCCATATCATTTTTAGATAAAAAATTTATCTTGAACCATAAACTATATTCTTTTTATGTGGTTCTAAGGAATTCTGAGTACTTATTAGCGATTGAAAATTACTCAGCCTTTATTATGTTTCGTTTGTAACTCCCAGTTTTGATTTGCACTTCGAATCAATTTTATGTGTAATTAATATCTAATTTACTTCTTTAATAACATTTAACACCCATTCCCCTCGTCTCTAGCGGTAACTCTCGTTACCAGTCTCTGCACGTGAATACTATTAACGGCGGTAATTTATTAATCGAATGTTATCGCAAGGCGAGATTCTAATATCTGCTCTTATAAATTTTGATGTAGTTAGGCTATTCACTTTCATAAATTTACATTATATCGTGTAAGACTCGTTTCTAAGAAGTATTCTAATCCACGAATAATTTATTGACGAGATTTTAAAGCGAATCGTAATGCAAAATAATGGTGACAGAGAGTGAAATGGTCACCTAACCTATATTTATAGGACAACCTCCATACCTGCCTTTAAAGTACATTGACTGCATCAGTTTAGTAGATACTAGAAGCGATTAATTGCCTCGTGAATAAGCTCACTGTCCGGTAAATTAGTGGCAGTCAGTTGGGGTCGTTATTAATTATTATTATTATATTATTGCAACAATTAGCCTTAATTGTGTGCATACGCCTTTACTTCTTCACTAACACATCTAAAATATTGAAAAATGAATATATTAGTATATATAGAAACTTTCGATAACTGAGACCTTCCACCTCATTGGTGATGTTCATCTTGATTTTCGGTGCGAGATAGATAAATAGCTGAAGCGCTAGTATATATTTCGCCACTAAACTAACTAACTAAACTACATATAAAATTCCATCAATGTGCCCACCATTAGAATAGACTGTAAGTCGAGGACTCATGGGAAAGGACCTGTTAAGTGCCGCAAATCATTTGTCTGCACGGGGGGTCAGTAACGTCATTGCAAATTTTTTTTACCTAAATTAAGTTGAGTTTCCAAAGTTATTGCATTGAAAAATTAACTCATTTTATGATTAAAAATCAATCGTACAACACACATTGTCATATTGTATACTGGAGCCACTTCTCATAATTAATGATTATGTAAATTTCAGTAGATTTTATTTTACTTTTATCATGAGAATAAATGAAATCTGCATCAATGTAACCGTAGACTTTGGTCTACCGACTAAATAACCGCAGACTTCTATTTAGTTTACAGTTCGACTGATAATGTTGAACTTCTCATCTTGTTCGTTCTTGATTTTTTTAATTTTAATATTTTTTCAGGTTTAATGGATTAATATTCTTTAACTAAATTGTAATTACAACTTCATTGTTTATATGCCACAAGTTGCATTATTGTAACTGAAACTTATTTAGTTTGGCTGCGGATGTAAATATTTTTTTCTATTTGTCAACAATTTTGTTTTTATCGTATAAAATTTTTAAACGTTAGATTCATGTTTGTTGCGTGCTTACATTCGTTGACTTGAAATACCTATGTACATTTTTTTCTGGGTATCTAACGAGGAAACTTTGAAGAATTGAGTGCAGGCACTAGATAATTACTCTGCTCAGCTAGAGCAATAGGAATTTCAATATAGATCTGTTGCCTTCAACTTTATGATTTTCTGAATGCATTACGAGTTTGCGCACGCGTTCTCAGTGTAAAATTCTACGAAGGACTGAATGTCGGTTAATTGCGGCATCATCCTTCATGTCTGGCGTAAGCTATGCTTGCTTCTTTAGGCTGGAATTCGTTGTAATCAAATTCTTTTTGGCTACCTTAATTTTCTTCTTGTCTTGGTGATAATTACTTTTCTGCGTACCATGTTGATCACTTTTATTTTTGACAGCGCCACACACTTGATGTCATTTGAAGATGATTTTACATTCGTCGAGTCCTCGCACTCGAGCTAGTCGAATGATCAGGTGTAATGATCCGTGTGTTCTCATCGCTAATTCCCTTCAAAACACGGCCTTCAGCGGCGGCCTGGGTAATGCCACAGGTTTTTTGACAAGAGTCTTCAGTTGTTTGGTGCATATAAGGGCAGGCATGGCTGCGGTGTGTACAGAAACCCGGATAACTTGTAACCACCCAGTCAACTCCATTTGGGCTCCTGTCACCCGCTATAAAGGAGATGGTCGCGACTTCGGCTGCTTTCTTGCTGGTGAGTTAGTTTAACGATCCTCAGTTTGTTATTAAACTCTGAGGTACTCTGGTTATTTTAATTTCATATAAAGTTTTCAAATAAAATAATTATACAACATATTCGGAAATTCGGTATTTGCACAAATGTCTACATCACAGAAATTGATGATTAGTAACTACTATTGTTTTACCGGCATTTTTCAATTATGTATCTCTTTAACAGCAAGTGGAAAGATAAATACATGAATACAGTGTTGCCAATTTCTATTATTAATATGTAATCTGGGAAATATCCTCCCAGCCATTCGCTGGAATTTGCAAGCTTGTCGTACATCTTCGTTGATGAATTGTATAGAAGGTTTCTGACGACTGCGTTTATATTTAATAATTAATCAAGATGCAATATAAGTTTACCATATGTACTCTCAGGTGAGCGCAATGGTGGTGCTCGGAGACGGCGTAGCGGCGCTGCCGCTCAGCGTGTACTCAGACTGGTTCATGCACGACCAAGAGTGTCGGGACATTGCCGGCAACCGCGACCTGTACGATGAGGTTGCCCGCGTCTGCAACGACTGTCAGAACCTCTTCAGAGTGTCCAATATCGGCCCTGCTTGCAGGTACTACTTCTAGTTGTTGAATATCAGTTCTAAAATACCCGTCCAGCGAGTGAAAATTGTATCGTCCGCTGATGCAGGAATAAAGCTTCAGCACTCGTTAGCTGATTTTGCGATAATAATATTGTAGCCTTCCTTACTTTCTTTTTACATGTAGAATAAAAATCGTACTGCAATCATAATGTATTTAAACGAAACGCACAAATAAACTTCCATATTAATCACTTGAAATATGTTTCCAAGCGTCACGTAATGAAAATTGAGTCCGCGTCATTTAAAAGGGTAAATCGATCCTTGGTTAAAAAATAGGTTCAGGTGATATTTGATAAACTGGATTTGTGATTACACGGTCTTCCTCGATGTCCAGGTCTATGCCTTATTTGTTTTTTTTCTCGTTTGGACAACCGTACAATATTATGAATAACAAAGCTTCGAAAATATGCACGTAAAATAAAAGCCTGACATAGCCTACATCCGCACCGTGACTTGTTCACAGGAAGAACTGTTTCTGGAACGAAGAGTTCAAGCTGTGCGCCGAGGCCCTGCAGCTTTCCTCTGAACTGCCCGAGCTCATCAGGAAGATCCACGTCATTAAAGTGGGCTAAGCCACGCCGTCTGACTGGCACTAGAGCGCTCTGGATTATTGGGAAGAAACTCGTACACGAAACACCTTATTAGCCACACAGATACTCTAAAATCGCACATATTTTTTACCGGGTTACTGTAGCATTTGGGAATTGTCGAAATGTAACCTGTAAAACTCCATGACTGTAAAACTCCAAAATAAACACTCCGGCAAAAGCCTATAAAGTTGAGGTAATTTATCAAACAGCAGGTTTCCATGATAGTAATTGCCAGTGAAACGTTGCCATGGAACATTTAGTAATGCATGAACTGAGTTGAAAAAGTAGTACATGTCTGCTTTAAAACCAATCTCATGCTTATCATTTCAACTACACAATATGACTTTCCCTTGTTTTAAATTCCTAACTACACATATGCATGAGAAGAAATATCGTTTGTAATTTATAATTTTGTAGCCAAACATGTTCCATAATTTGTGTTTTCCTAAACTATTATATTAGAACTTTGATTACGTAGCTTAAATAGCGAAATTATGAAAAAAAACAGCTCTATTCGAAATAAAAGTTTATTACCCCCAATTTGGCATAGCAATAAGTATGCAAGCGATCTTCTTTGGATAAATATTCTCAAATATTGGTCAATTTCAAGTTAAAATCATTGCATTGTCGATAAACAAATAGTATATTAAATTCACGATAGTCGTCAACTTTTGGTACATCGTGATGTGCAGAAGAGCTGGAATTGTTGCTTGCATTGACTCAATCGTTGAATATATCTGGAAAAATTAATATAACCCACACAAATACAGTTTTTTCCGGGGGGAAAATGTTTGCAGCAATCCACTCTTCAAATTTTATATTATTTTATCTACGTGCGTATATTTGCAACGTGTTACCATAATCACAGCAATAAACAATGCTCTAGGCGTGCATCGACAGAATGCTCGTGTTAAAGAACTTTCAATCATGTGCGAGAGAGAAGCTTAACTGTCATAAGGATTAACATAGTAAGCTTCTCATAGTAATTTTCATAAGGATTACCATAGGAAAGCGATATAAGAGACATTCAGGTGATTCCAAAATGTTTTCGCACATATATTTTCTACCGATCATTCTTTGCTTCGTGATAGATAATTTTTTAACAAGTTTTAGGATATACGAGAAGTAATGTAAAAGCAATGGGCTGACAAATAGCCGCACACTGGTAATGACGACAGCCGGAACGGAAAGCTGCAACGAAAGTCAGCAAGCAATAACATTGTACAGCGCGAGTTGTCACGAAAATTTACAATTGCCCGTGGAAGGGAGAAAGAGTGGAGCTTTCGACACTAGCGATAAGCGTCCATTGACGAGAAGTGCAAGTATAAACTGAAAGGGCGTTTGAGCCGTGTTCCAGCTCTACTATTTAGACAGCAACAGCGGAAATAATGTATCACACAGAAGGATTCCAGCTAAGAGTCTAGATTTTTTCAAGTATTTAAAAAATTAATTAGCACTTACAAGACACGAGTTACATCGAACCAAAAATGGTAGCAACTTGAAGTTTATAAATCATTTAGCTTCAAATTATTTATAAACAATACACGTCAGATTATAAAGCAAATGTTTATAGTAATGGAGCCGAGATAAAAGTGAAAAGTTTTATTCGAAGAACAGTAAAAGCCTAATGTTCTTCCAAAAATTTTTATAGGCAAACGCCTCATCCATGACGTGCGTTTTCACGGCTCTATATGTTATTTTCAGTGCGCTGGCATATAATATGCACTTTCAGTCTACCGACACGTATCGAGACGTTTGGAAACCAGTTGCCATGAGTAAACTAAGCCATAACCTGAGGTGGTACAGAATTAGGATCTGTCCGAAACATCGTGGATCAAGTTGTCAATTATTCATAGGAAAAATCACTACAGGGAATATGGTAGGATAAAAGTACAATACGCGTACAACGTATGTATGGGACACCTCGCACACCATCTACTTGCAAACAAACCAAGTGCCAACACACTTCTCAATTGAAATGGTTGAAAATTTTAATCTTCCAAATAATATCGAAGAATATTATTTTAACACAAAAAATAATCTAAAGTTAACTCTTCGACCGCATCACACAAAAGAATAATAATTTATTATTTATAAATTCGTTGCCCAATATAGTGAATAGCATGTAACTAGAGAACAGACGAAGTACGGTACCTGTCGTCTCGAGAGTTCCTCACGTAAAGTCACGACTGTCTACTTCCGTTGTAATAATACTTTTGCTGCTTGAAGATGAGGTCTCAGAAAGTGACGAATTCTCATCGTTTTTCACAACACTGCTACCAGAAGCCGTAGAACTGGTACAAGCAGTGGGTAAATTAGACTCCGATGAAACATTACTCGGGGCGAGTGTGCTGCCAGATTCATCTCGGCCACGCGACTGCAAGCTAATTGAAGCTCCGCTTGATATTGGGGAACTTGCAGATGCGAGAAGTCGGTCTGTGTCACTGGTAACGCTGCTGCTGTTCGGCGGACGTGGCTCCCCGGAGGCTTGTTCGTCTTCCCCGCGGCGGGTGCGAGCAGCGCTCTCCCTGCGGCCGCGCAGTCGCTCGAGAACAACGACGCGGTCTATGCCCAGGTGACGCATGGCGTTGCCATCCAAGTTAGCACTCAACTGAACATCCACTGAGAAGATGTAGTGCGGCACCACGAGTAGCATCGTCAAGAATATCAGCACAAACGTCGAGAAAGTCGAGAATAAGTAGTTGTGTTTGAAGCGCATGAACCAGAGCACTGCAACCACCAGCCAAAGAAGTGCGCTCTGCCAAAAAGAATTGATACGATCAAACATGATGAAAGAACTCGCAATTAGAATTACACAAAATTATCACAAATGTTGAGCAATTTATCAACTTGGGCTCCGTAAATTTATCAAATGCAGTTTTATGCTCGACTTGGAACGATGAATATCAGTTTACACCAAAATTACTTGACAATGAAATACAGAGTGAATTTAGTAGAACAAGAAATAGTTGGTAAGTAATACGGTTGGGGAAAATTCGTACATTCCAGTATTGGATATTATGAACATATATTTAAAGAAATGCGTAATACAGTAATAAAATGCATGGGAAAGCACCCAACAGCTAACCATATAGTTAGACAAGTCGAGACTCTGCGTGGCGTCATCGTCATGCAGCGCGTCGGGCACAGAGGCATGCCACAAGAAGTGCAGCCAACGCCTGCGAGCGACGCGGTTCAGACGCTCGGTTGAGTTGGTCCCTGCAACACAACATCATGTGAGTCAGGCTACTAAACATTTTTGTTATTTATAACGATCAAAAGCATACATTCGCCCAAGAAATTACCGAATGTGAGAGCACTGACTATTATGTGCAATGTGGGTTCCTTGGTATGTAGGTGCTGAGGCCCCTGGCTTGTACACTTATTAACAAATATCAAAGACACAGAAACGAAGTCATAAGAAGATTAGTAACAAATGAAGACCAAAATGAGAAATAAGGTGTGACAATATTCTCTCTTCCAGACCAGGGGATAGAGTCTTGGTTTTCAGGGTAAAGAACGAATTTCACGAAACCTCTCAACCGCGTTGTAGTGGAAATTTAAATCTTGTGATCAATTACAACAAGCAGACACTATCTTCTATCTTATAACCTCTCGCCACCGCGGTAACCAGTTGAGAAGAAAACAGTAAGGCTATAATTACACAGCATCATGAATACCTATATTTTCTGATGATCCATTATATATAACCACCGTACATTGGTACCTACTCAAGAACCTGCAACGGCAAATTTTATGTTGCATAATAACTTTGGGAGTTAAGACAAAATAGAGTTAGAATATTAAAGACTAGTCTAGTAATATTTAATTTTTTTTACGTGAAGTTTGTACAACAATCTTCTCAATTATATTGTAGGTATACCTGATGCTTGTTGAGGTTGTGCAGGTGGAGGAGGCTTGGGTTGCGACACGTGGCAATGAACGATGCAATTGTCAAACAAGCCGCATTCTTGCAGAGTAGAACTGTCGGGCTTCAGCAGCCGGCCATTGAAGATCACTCGTATCACTCGGTGTTCCGCCAGTTCGGCATTGAAATGCGCCCTGATATTGATATAAATTCAAAGTAATTATAATACAGATTTTTATAAACATGATCAACACAAACGGAAATTCGTGAATCAATAGACAAAAATTTACTCAATTTAGAACATGGATCAAATCATTTACTCACGCACCTTTTGAATCCTATTAGATTCTGAGTAGGTTTGTCAAAGACCGTTCGTTGGCGATCATCCAGGTACTTGAGACGAATCCTTATTGATCCAGGAGGGCAATCAACTTCGGGGTTTGAAGTCTTATCAGTACTTGTCACCGATGTGTCTTCAGTGAAATTTTCGACTAAAGATGAAGGACTATCAGGAAGTTTTGCTGGAACATTTTCCGGCATGTGTGAACTAATTCCATTTATGTTATTGTCAACATTTAAACTCGGTTGTACATTTTCATTTCCAACATTTTTTGTTGGTGCAGAGGTTGAAATGCTAGGGCCTTCACCGAAGTCAGTATCACATGCAGGAGATTTTGATGTACCTCCCACTGAAGAAATATCTTCTGAGCAATCAGAATGAGCACTATTGTCACTGGAAGGAATAGAAGTTCCATCTGATTGGGTTTCAGAAGTACTCACTTCTGGCACAGATTTAAGGTCTTCAACTCCTTGATTATGTTCCCCTGACAGCGATTCGGAACTCATATTTGCAGCAGACATAGCAGTATTAGGTGCCACAGGGCGTTCAGGAGTATCAAGAACACTGTTGGTAGATTCGTAACTAAATCTTTCAAATACATCTTCACTAAGAGCAGCTTCTTCTATGCCACTATTTTCTTCATTTTCATCGTCTTCTTCTCCGTCATCTTCATCGTCATCATCTGCAGTTAGAAAAATTTCTTCGTAAAGCTCCTCTTGCAAGCCAACTTCTTGTTCTGTAGCAGAAGATCTTACGGTGGAAGTGAAACGTTCAACAGTTTGTCGACCAGATGCGTGTTGCAAAACAACCACAGTGATATTTTGAATGCCCGGCACATACGTTGATCTCCAGGCAGCTATAAGTATAGTGGCCGCCAATAGGAAGATACCAAAGTAGAAAGAAAAATCATAAAAGCTTACTCCATTGAGTAAATCTAACATTTCTCTTGGCTTTTTAGCAATTAAAAATTCTAGTGGAATCCTTCCGGTTTAAATTACTATCATCAATAATTAGTATTCATCTGAAAATACGGTTTGAGTTCTCAGAGAAGTCCACTAAAATATTGTTTTAACACAATTTATCTAATTAATATAGTGTAATGACTGCTAATTTAGCAATAGTTCAAGCCAAATATAATTACTTATGTGCCTCTGTCTAAGGTGAAATTTTTCGTCTAGAGATAATGCAACTAATCTAAACTCTTAATCATCAGTTTCACAGAACATCTTTCTGTCGAGAATAATTTTCTAAAAAGAATAAGTAATTAAATTACAGTGGGGGGAAATAAATATTCGTACACTTGGAAAATCGTATTTTAATGTATGTAAGTACACAAACTTAACAGGAAAAGTGATTTAAATTATGTATAGAGACGCATAGTATTCAAAAATACTATCAAAAGAAATTAAATCTCAATGCAACAAAAAACAATGCAACATGTTCACTTTTCGGGTGAAAAAAGTAGTCGTACAAAACAATAAATCCGCATTATTTTAATTTAATACTTGGTTGAATACCCTTTATTCAGCTCAACAGATACCAGTCTATTTCTATTATTGGTCGAGACGTATAGAAATAGACTGGTATCTGTTGAGCTGAATAAAGGGTATTCAACCAAGTATTAAATTAAAATAATGCGGATTTATTGTTTTGTACGACTACTTTTTTCACCCGAAAAGTGAACATGTTGCATTGTTTTTTGTTGCATTGAGATTTAATTTCTTTTGATAGTATTTTTGAATACTATGCGTCTCTATACATAATTTAAATCACTTTTCCTGTTAAGTTTGTGTACTTACATACATTAAAATACGATTTTTCAAGTGTACGAATATTTATTTCCCCCCACTGTATATGCTAAATGCAAGAACAACACATGAAGATAAATTAATTCACAAGTTTTCTAAATGCTAGCCCTGGCTGCTAAACTAGAGTTAGAGATTTTGAGTTGAATTCAAATTCAAATTCAGTTGAATTATATAGGTACAAATACAATGAAACTTGGAATAATGGATTAGAAAGCACAAGCAAACAAACTTTTTGCCACAAAGGTCTAAATATTACAATATTATGGGGAGCCTAAAAAATTAAATTCAATGCAGACAAGATTTGTTGAAAGCAGACGCAAAATGGTGCTATAGAGCATCAATTAATAAAGGATAAATTCATAAGAGAGATAGGGCGAAGTAAAATTGTCATGCACACAAGTTTTTTTTTTTTTGTCTCAAGTGGCTTATCTGGTTAATCTAGAATACTGAAAAAATTTAAATTGCAGATAAAATTTATCATTTTATGAAAGATTTTTAAAAATTGCAGGAAAAATATGTCATTTTTCCTAATTTTTACAGTAGAAATAAGGATTTCCTAGGAATAAGGGAAATGCATGGGCATTTTAATTTAATCTCAGGTTCAAACTAGAAAATTGGGTATGTATAAGCCACCCATGAACCAATTTGGAATAATAGAATTTTCTTAATGTTATGGTGAAATCTATTGTTCAATAAACAATTTTCAAGAATTTAAGGCAAGATACCAATTTGCCACAACGGCCTGCGAATGAGAAAAAAATGCCCATGCTTGCAGTCAATTTCACATGCTCCTGCAGGATTTGAATTTTCCTGATTATGAATGAATTCTCATGACTCTAAAGATGGTACCAAGACTTTACTTCATCTCTCTATTAACAACTAGCATTTTCATGGTTAACTTACCAAACAAATGGAAAAACATACAGACTAGACTAACGACTGGAAAACTGGAATCAACTAACAACTGGCATGTGGTTACTATCAACCAGATGGCCAACATGATACTTTTATAACAATTTGTGTGCCATACTATGAAACCTTGCACAAAGTGACAAGTTTTTAATACCATCAATTGGGGTAATAAGGGAAGGTTTTTAACATTTTTTAACAATAACTTCTTACCATGAAACATTTTATAAACAAGTTTGGGCTCATTTTAAAGCGCTTTGCAAGCGCTATCATACGGCATCTCCAAAAGATTCCATATGCTATTTGTAAGGTGACAAATGCAAAATAAATGCATCCCAAATTACCACCGGGAATGAGGTAATCTGGGACACTGGAAATAAAACTCAATTTTAAAATGTTTGAAGCTTGCAGAGTGTACTCATCCATAACTAACACTACTCTGAAGTCCTCCTCTTCCTTCGTATATGATGTAAATGTAGAATAATACGGGGGAACCGTATTATTCCCTGGAATTGTATGGTTAATAATACCGGAATCCCAGTGCGGTTTAAGGGCCCAGCGGGGCACATCACACATGATTTTCTCATTATGCCAGCTGCAGGAGAAGTGTCGTGAGCAGCGGAGGCCTTTGTACATTGCGTTCATCAACCTGACAAAGGCGTTTGATCTTGTCAGCCAGAGAGGTCTGTTCTTGCTGCTGAGGAAGATAGGTTGCCCCCTATATAGGTCTTCTCAGCATCATCTCTTCCTTCCATGACGACATGCAGGGCGTAGTCAGCCATGATGGCAATACCTCAGAGCCTTTTAGTATCAAAAGTGGAGTAAAGCAGGGCTGTGTCCTGGCCCCTACTCTCTTTGGCATCTTCTTCTCACTGCTGCTCAAGTTCACGTTCAGAGACTCAACTGAGGGCATCCTTTTACATACCAGAAGTGATGGTAAACTCTTCAACTTGGCTCGTTTGAGAGCAAGAACAAAGGTCCGCGCTGTCCTCATCAGAGAGTTGCTCTTTGCTGATGATGCAGCGCTGTCTTCCCACACCGAGGAGGATCTGCAAAGGCTGATGGGCTGCTTCGCTCACGCCTGCAGGGAGTTTGGCCTGACAACATCAGGAAAACAAATGTTATGGGTCAGGATGTTGTAGTGCCCCCATCTATCACCATTGACGGAAATCAGCTCAAAGTCGCCGAGCCTTTCACCTACCTGGGCTCCACCATCAGCAACAACCTGTCCCTCAATAGTGCGATCGACAAGAGGATTGCATAAGCGTCAAGTGTGATGGCCAGGCTGAACAAAAGGGTGTGGTCCAACAGGTGGTTGTCACTTCACACTAAGCTGAAAGTGTACCATGCGTGCGTCACTAGTACCCTTCTGTACAGCAGCAAAACCTGGAGTCCTGGACCACATATGCTAAACAGGAAGACCGTCTAGAGTGCTTCCACCTTCGCTGCCTCTGCGGCATCCTTACATCACGTGGGAGGACAGGGTCACAAACACAGCTGTTTTGGAACAAGCTGGCACAATGAGCATGCATCTCCTCCTGTGCCGGCGCCGTCTCCTGTGGCTCGGTCACGTGCATCGCATGCAGGATGGTCGCATTCCCAAGGACTTGCTCTACAGGGAACAATCTGCAGGTGCACGCCTGACTGGCCATCCAATTTTGCGCTGCGAAGACGTCTGCAAGCGCAGCCTCAGTACAGCATTTATCGACCCCCAAACCTGGGAGCGGCTTGCGGTCAACCGCTGCGGTTGGCGGCAGGCCGTTCGGGAGGGAGTCCGGAGGGGTGAGGAGCTGCGCAGCCAGAGCTTGAAGACAAGCACCGTTGTCGGAAAGCCAGACAGCAGACAAGGAACATTGTCGCACCGTCAGGCTTCATTTGCGCCAATTGTGGTTGTGACTGCCATGCCCGAATTGGCCTGGCAAGCCACTCCAGGTGCTGCTGACAGCGTGTTGTGCGATGACGGACGGGGTGCACACCATCATCTCTCAAGATGGACGGATGCCAATGGAAATGGAAATGTAGAATAAATGACATTTTCTGTGATTTTTGCTTGTTTTTCCTTTGTTGATATACTACCATATTCATACATTCCAGTATCATTGATGCAATATTACCATATCTATAAACATGCCATTGAGCATTTGCAATGACTTTATCCACTGCAAATTTCATATCATTAGCCATATAGCATTTCTTCTGTATCTGTAAGCTTACATGACACTGATGACAGCTACCGTAAAATGGGGTAACTTAGACCACTTTTTTTTATAAATGATGCCATTTTTTTACTAGCTAAATTAAACTTGAATTGAAACATGCAAAATACAGGTCTATACTCTAGCTTCACTCACCATAAATTGCTGGCTCCTGCCTCTCATAGTTTTTTTTTGTGGGTCACATTTTTAATTTTTAACCTATTAGATATGCAAACTTTTCAAATCTTTCTATTGTGTTATGTAGCCTCAGTATTAGGCCTTTAATGCTCATTGACAAAATTTTTCTATGTCAAATAGTTTCTGAGTTGTGGGGGTTTTTGTTAAAAAAACGAAAAGTGGTCTAAGTTACCCCGCCGGTCTAAGTTACCCCATTTTACGGTAGTAATTTCACACCATTTTAATTGGGTCAAGTTAATTCACTATAACAAAAAATGATGGAAAAACATATCTGAAACAAAAAGGAATATTTTACTGACAACCATCATATTTTTTGGAGAAATAAATCGTAGTTTAGGTTAATTACTTTTCATTATATGACACCTGGTGCACAATTCTATCTATGACATTCTATGCACAATTTTGAGATGACCAATGATGCATTAATTTTTCATTAAGTTAAATTTTTTCAGTGAGTAAAGTAAATGTGAGTGAAGTAAATGTATTTTTTAATATGGCGAATATTTTTTTGCTACAGACCTTAGCAGAGGTACATTTCTAAAGTCTCACTTTTCACACTTTTTTCAGGGATTTTTTCAGAGGTAGTAAATGTATGATTTCTTAACTTGTTTTATGATACATAGATAGGAAAAATATTGAACAATACGCCACTATCAGGGTGCGTACGATATTGAGAAAGACTTTTCCAGGACTCTCCATGATCATCAGTATAATTTTCCAGGACTTGTATATGACAGGTTTAGCATGACTGAAAGAGTAATCGTGCATATTCTATAATCTCCTAAAGTTGATAACTAGCAAACGTGTAAATGCATAAGAGTGGGCAGACACAGAGGATCAAAATTGACGCAAATCTGGAAATCAAGCCCACACTTTTATAATTATGAATTCAATAGTGTCAAATCACAACAAATATTGAGTAATGCACACAATATTGCACATGATAATGTCAATACATTTAAGAACTTGGTTCAACACAGCTACCCTAACATTAAACTATTTCATCAAATTTTTATTTAATGTTCAGTTCAAGAGTGTCTAGCTCCTGTTGCTTTGTTTTCAAAGATCGCCTCATGGCGTTGAACTTTGCGATGACTTTCAAATCCCCCTTTCTCTCCATTGCTTCTGCATGCATATTCATCTGCTGCTTGCTCAAGCGCCTTGATGACCTCCTCTGTACGCCTTTTCTTCTTCTTCAGTTCATCTAGCAGTTCTAGCTCATGCAACAGAGCCTTCCACTTCTGAGTTTTCTGGGCCTTTGCATTCTGCTCTTTCTCTTCTGCCAAGTAAGTATTGTAGGCTGTTTTGGCACTACCAGCTGCAAGCGGCATCTTCTTGGTGATGGTCATCTTGCCCAGGCCACTAACATGTGCAACATGATCAACCGTAGCACGCACGGCAAACAACGTTTGCTCTTTCATGTTGTGCATCATGATTTCCTTGTTGGACGAAAACCCTCTTTCAACCGTGGCTTGGCCATGAGACAGGAGCATGAACATCTGCACTACCGTAAAATGGGGTAACTTTGACCACTTTTTTTTCAAAATGATGCCATTTTTTTACTAGATAAATTAAACTTAAATTGAAACATGCAAAATACAGGTCTATACTCTAGCTTTACTCACCATAAATTGCTGGCTCCTGCCTCTCATAGTTTTGATGTAATTTAAAAAAAAATGAAGGTCTTTGTTACCCCAGCTCTTGGGGTTTCTTTGACCGGGTGGTAAAATCAATTTTATTTTTTGATAAAACAACTCCAAATAACTCCAGGTTGAGGTGCATTGTAGTAGAACTCTTCTAGTTACATATGCAAAAGACAAATTTTAGGACAGTGTCATAGTTTGCAAATGGGGGGCGCCGCCCCCCAATGGGCGAAATGTGACCACCTAATGGCAGCCGTGATGGGGTAACATTGACCGGTTTGGAAATTAAGTTTAAATTACCATATATAAGACTCTGTAGAGTCTGAAACATAAAGAAAAAAACATTAATAGGTGTATCAAACATAAAATATGTTATATAGGTACCTATGGTAATTTTAACTTAATTTCCATGCCAGTCAATGTTACCCCATCACGGCTGCCATTAGGTGGTCAAAGTTCCCCCATTGGGGCATAGTGGCAAAGCAGAGAGTTTTTTAGACTCTCCCACAAGTTCAATTTTGATTACTATAAGTAGACCAGTAAACTAGAGTAAAGTATTATGGATACCAGAATTATCATACATAAGAAATTGGTTTAAATATTGAGTAGGTAATTGAGGAAATTAAAAATGCACTGATTCTAAAAAATCTCTGGTTTGCCACTATGCATTGGGGGCAGTGCCCCCCATTTGCAAACTATGACACTTTCCTAAAATTTGTCTTTTGCATATGTAACTAGAAGAGTTCTACTACAATGCATCAAAACCTGGAGTTATTTTACCGATGAAGAGGGCCGCAGAACATTAGCTATATTATATAGTAGAATCATTCATTTACAATTGTACCTTAATGTATGTCATGTTTTATTTCATTATCTTTCGAGTGTCATGTGCATCTTATTAATCATGTATCTTGTTTCCCTTGGTGTAATATTTAAGCAGAGTAAAAGTTAATGAGACGAGATTCTTGCAAGTCCATATGTTATGCACTTTTGGTTATTCTGCACCCCTGATTGCTGAATTGAAAATTCACTGGTTGCACCTGATTCTCTTCTGACCTTCAAAAAGCCTGTTTAAGACGCCTTAATGCAGGATTGATCTACATCTCTGCTTAATAATCCCATCCTGATGCTCCATTTTGGTGAGTACAGTTCATTTCATCTCATTAAAATGTCACCATGCTTATATTTGTCTTTGCTGAGCTCTTAACAAATGTTTTCCAGTTATTCATGCCTGCTTATAAAGAATGAAGGATGGTTTTCACTGGTTCTCATGTTAATCCTGTCTTTTATTGCACAATTTTCATTTTTGCTTACTTGAACCATGTTGTGTCGACCCTTGAATAACTTTGCTTCTGAAACTAATGCATTGATGACTTTGTGTGTGACATAACAGTTTAAACATCCTCCTGATGTCAATATTTCTAGAAGGCTAGTTCTTATGAACGCATTTATTTGACGTTTAGGAGCGGTTGGTCACCGTTGGTGTGGAGCTACAGTCTTCTTGATGAGAACCGATGATCACTCGACCAACTCCTGGCCATCAAGAAAGAAGCTAAGAGATTCCACCTATGAACCAAAATTTGATTTAGATACCAACTTGAAGTTGATGTGCCTTGCGCTTTTCCTAGATACTTTGAATCCAGACATGTGTGACTTAGTTAAATTTTCTAGTTGTTTCCAGGAGTATATTAACTGATTATGATGCTAGTGTGGATAGGAGTATAGGAGTATATTTAATGACTTGTGCAACTTAGTAGGACCAGTTGTCTTTCATAATCCGCTCATGAATGTCCCATACATCAATGAGGGAATCATGTTGTGTCAAGAGTAGTTGAAACTTTAGTCTGACTAGCTAATCTACCAGAAGTGCGAAATTAGGATTTGCAGATTTAATTCTTGGACCGTATAACCAGTTGCTTTTTCTTGATGTACTTTCATTGATGTTCAACGTTTAGGTATTGTGTGACCTAGTCCGCTTATGCATTCCTGTGCTTGGCACCTATTTGTTTCTATTTGCTTGCCAAATACCATTTGCTTTCAAAGTGTGCTCTAGGCCCTAGATAATCATTAGCTCTCCCAACAGCCCAGCAAATGGTAAGATGGCTACAACCCTTTGGGCATACTTCCTGCCATAAGGTAAGAGTGTTGGTGTTGAGTGCAGTGTGGAGTGAGTGTGGTGTGCCTGGGTGTGGTATGTGAGTGTGTGTAACTTGGTCCACAAGCCACTCAGCCTTGATCTCCATCCTTCCACCAGTGGTCAAGTTCTGCCTTGCTAACTATCACTCCTTGGCTTGTACCTGAAGCCTGGGATGATTACTACTTGATTTATGATTACTACTTGATTACTACTACTAGGGATGGTTACTACTTGTGTATGGTTGTTAAAACCATAGTTGGCCTTGGCTAATGTTCGAGCAAGACATTTTGATTATCAAGCAGCAGAAGCTGTTAATAACTATTTTCCATTTTGACTTTACTATTATTTCGTGGTTACTCAAAACTACAACGCTGAGAGGCCTCAGTGGTCCATTCAATAGAGTACTTTACCCAGACCACCAAGTGAGCTGAACTCAGTGGTCCATTCAATAGAGTACTTTACCCAGACCACCAAGTGGGCTGAACTGACACCACCGCTAGTGTTTGATTGAGAATAGGTAAAGTTCATTTATTGTTGTATCTGCCATCTTGTATTTTGTGTTTTGTTAGTAGTAAATTGTTTAGTGTTTTCCATGTTTCATGCCTTCCTGAATGTGACTCCTTCTGACCACATTCAGTATTTGTTTTCATGTCCACGGACTCGAAAGCTACAGTCTCGCATATTTGTGCAGGCTTACCGGGAACCGCTACAGCATGAAGCTTGATATGTACATTGTGCTTGACAGACTTCGATTTGTCAAAATGGGGGAAGCAGCTTTGAAAAGCCATGCCTCCTTTGAAGAGCCGTATGAAGAGCTATGCATTTACATGATTGCTATTTATCAACTGTAGGATATGATAGAATATGCATGGTTAGTTTTTCAGTCATGCTAAACCTGTCGTATATGAGTCTTGGACAATTATATTGATGGTCATGGAGAGTCATGGAATATTTTTTCTAAATACCGGTACAAACCCTGTTAATGCTTCTACTTATTACTTGCACCCTTGTTCACTAATATAGTAATTCAATGAGCAGTGTTCTCAGTTGACTTACGTCAAATTTCTATCATCCATAGTCCTGCTCAAACTTACTGGAATGGACTGTCTTTGTTTCATTTTCCAGGTTCCAGAGCAATGACTCACTAAACACCTTTCCATTCTTATGAACTGGCTTACTAACAATGCCTATTTTTTTTACCTATATGCTCATTCATATAATATCTGTGTATTTAAATTTTTTTTAATAAATTCACTATTTTTACAGGTCTTGTGTGTCTATTTTGTTATACTTTGTTAGCAGTTTGGCTTCCTTGATCTGCAGGTTTTTTGACAATTTTCTACTGCCACCTTATAATCTCTGCATTAAAATAACTGAGTTAAATTTAAGGAACTCTAAGCTGGAATACTAAGGCATGATGAATAGCTTTCTACCAGATTGTGGAGTGCTTAGTTCTCCTTCAGCTTTGAAAAACAATCTAAATGTGAATGGTATAGCTGACCAGCCAGTGTCAGCTGCCAAGCTTGGCTCAGGTAAGTTGCATGGTGGCAATCCTTTTCTGGCAAACACAGCTTTAGGAGTGTTAAAAACTGTTTCAAAACTTTTACATATTTATTTTTCCATAAAATGATGGCTACTTTTCATGTTTTTAACAGATTTTGCTCCCAAAAGTTTACAATGATATATTGGTAGCCTTGCATACATTTCAATAAAGACAAAAGCTATTTTATTTTGAACCATTAACTGATAATTGGATTTTACAGGTTCTGGTGTGAGCTTTTATTGTGCTCCAAAGAAGTTCCTCAATAGCCCGACTGCACACTCTGCTTCTTCTTCACCTGTAGCCACCAGAGCCAAACCCCGCCGCCGTGCAGCTGGTTCCATCAACCGTGGAGTGGGACATGGCATCAAGAAGCCAAATTTAAAAGCTAAAAATGTTAGTTTGTTATCTATCATGCTATAATTGCTTCGTTTGACCATTAGTAATAATACATTAATTTTTTCTATTTCACCCTATGCTTCTGTTACTTGAGTCAATCTCACTGAAAATTTATATTAATGTTTTTGATAGTCTTCTCAATTTTAGTTATGATTTGTCTCATATAATACTGCTATAAACCTTCATATGTGATTATTTTTTTGGTTATTAATAAGTTTCATTCACATTTATTGTTTGTATTAAAGTTTACTTTATTTCTTTATTTCATACCTTCACTTCATTCATTGAAAAACTAGAAAATTTAAATGCATATTTAGTATTATCATCCCTGATGTCAATGGGACCTGCTTAAAATTTTCAACATTTGAAGTGCAGCAGTGTTTAGAGGGAGCTTCATGATTTTAATTAGTAAACTTATTCAATTTAATTCATTTGGCTAGAAACTGAAGAAACAAGCCAAGATTGCAGTACGGCGCCTGAAGCAAGTGAAGCCGCCACCTCGCCTTGCAGAGCACAGGAGCCCTTCATCTTGTTTTAGCAGCCAAAACAAGGTAGGTACAGTCAGCAGGACCAATAACAAACATAGAAAGCTGATGGGTATTGTTACCTTATTGGGATTGAGAATTCATTGCGCAAAATATCTGCAGATTATTTTATCAGTTAATTTAGCTTTTAATATAATTACATTTGGATTTAGGATTGCTATGAAAGTATCAATTGCTCCATTACTTTCACATTATTTTTATATATTTGCTTATTTTCTTTTTTTTATTTTCTGATTTGTTTTTTTTTTTCTTAGAAACGGCATTATCTTTCATCTCCAGGCAAATCACTTCTGGATAGTTCAGTAAGTTCCATTGTAGTAAAACCTCAATTTTTGTGCGTTACAGTATTCATTTCTGCTAATCTTTGTGTATTGTTTTTATTTGTGAAACTCCCTCTGAATAGTATATATACAGTTCAGTGTTTTTATTTCTGAAATTTATCTAATAAAATCATTGGCATGTCCCAGGAATGTGAGGAGGCTAGCAAGTCACGGGACGGCAAGAAATTTTTCACCAGTCGCGCTCGTGCGGCGGCAACGGTTCAGATCACAAAAAATGTTCAGTGAGTTTTAAAATCCTTAAAATTATTGTTAGCAGCAATATTTTTGATCTTATTCTAGATATTTCTTAATGTCTGGCGGCAGTGTTAAGCGCCACCTAACTAATAGTATATGTTCTACCTGAAGACAAAGATTCATTGACTAAATGCGAGACCGATAAGCAAGACACTTCTTTATATTAACCTATCTTGATACGGAGTGGTTGGAGTGTTACATAGCGGCTTATTTTGCTAGCTACTGGAAGGTACTTATTAAAGTGCCCAGCTCTTTTAGGGACTTGGTACCTCCGCCCACCAGTAAGGTCTTGCTCACGTGATGTTGTCTTGACGCTGACTCAGTGTCTAGTACTTTTCCATCAATCTCTCCAGCGTCCAGTGAATATTACGTCTCAATTACAGCTGATCTAATCTTAGAATACAACTTTAATGAATAAAATGAGGCGCCAGATTGACCCCGGACATGAATAACATCCAAATTTTTTATAACCAAATTATTTATTGTTATTTAATTTATTGTTATTATTGTTATCATGCGATCGCTGGCAAACATTAACGTGGAAACCTAAGCGCCAAGTGTTTGATATGTTTTACTTTGATCAAATTTCTAGTTGTTATAGAATTATATTTTGTTTCTCAAAACATGCTTATAAGTAATTTGATGTTTCACTCCACTGTACAGATTGTCAGCAAACTACGGCAACATCAGCCTTAAGCAAAGAGTAACTGCTACGGGACTTAAGAAAAACATAGGCCATGCCGTCACTGAAAAACCTGAAAGAGTCAGTTCTCTAGCGCAAATCAAGTGAGTGAAATCCTGGTATTGGCTCGACATTACGCAATTTTAATTATCTACTAAAATCTGTAATGATGATTTATCCACAGGGCAACCCAACTTTTGACAAAACTATTGTCTAAAAAATGATTTGTTTTCAAGCAATTGCGTTTCGTTCATTGTGCACATTACCTTTCTACATGTAGTCAAATGCATTCTGTGTATTTGACTGCAAATTTCTCCGAGCAAGCACATCTATCAACACGTATAATTTGCAGTGTTCCATTAACAAGCAACGTGGAGAGCAACAAACCTAAACCCACGAGATTCGTAGTGAGTTCTCCCGCCCGAAATTCGCCTCGGTCTGGCAAGGAAAACAACGTCATTAAAGCAAGTCTCTCATCGTCGCCGCGAAGCCGTAAGTCGGCTGCCTCTGAGATGCCCGTTGCCCGCTCGCTCTACCGCGCCTCACCTGGCAAACGTCCTCGTTCTCCTGAAAGTAAGAGTCAAGTTTCACAGGAAGCTAATGTTATTAACTTATAAAGGATATGTAGCAGATCATTGTACCTATGTGCTTTTGTGTTGTGCTGTAATTTGTAATTCATTTATAGTGAGCGTGTTCTGTACATTGATACAAAAGTGCTGAATTTCGATGCTCTTAGAGTTGTAAACTTTAATTCCTTCAAAGTTTTTATATTTAGGCTAGCAATTAACAATTGCCATTAACTCTTCGTTGCGGACTTTGCTGATGCATAGTCAGCAAAATACGAGAAAGATTATTTCCATCCTCAAGGTTTTACTGCTCCAATATATGTCCAGAAATACAGGCAATGCAAATTTTAATTTCTGTATCTACAGAAGAGGAAATTGCATTGCGGTCATCTCCGAGACATCAAGTGCAATCACCAAATAAACAAGACCAGCAAACTCCTACTAAAGTGTCCCGTAACACATCTTTGCGTACTGTTGTTCTGAACAAACTTACTCCTACAAAGTTTTCACCCTCTCGCTCCTCACCACGTCGTTCATCTAACAATTCATCTCCTATCACAAAGTCATCTTATCACGGCAGTCAGGAAGATCCGTTGCTGGATCTGACTTCTCCCCCGAACTCGCCTCTCGGGGTCCGAAATTCGCCTTTTCGCAAGACTCTCTTGGACAGCTCAGAAAAGTTGGGTTCTCCCTTGCGCCTTTCGTCAGCGTCGCCGGTGCGCGTCGACCCATCGTCTCCTCGCCTAGTGCTCACCAGAGACTCTCCTCTGCGCGCTAAAAACGACGTCCGCTCCTCGTCTCAAGAGTCTGTGGACGGAGCGTCGCCGGTGCGCGTCGACCCATCGTCCCCTCGCCTAGTGCTCACCAGAGACTCTCCTCTGCGCGATAAAAACGACGTCCGCTCCTCGTCTCAAGAGTCTGTGGACGGAGCGTCGCCGGTGCGCGTCGACCCATCGTCCCCTCGCCTAGTGCTCACCAGAGACTCTCCTCTGCGCGCTAAAAACGTCAGTTCCTCGTCTCAAGAGTCTGTGGACGGCCGCACTCCGACGCACGTGAGTCGCCACAAACTGTTGTTTTCTTTTACGGCCAGTATGCCACGATAAAATTGAGAAAAATCGGTTTTGACTTTCTTCATATGCATTCGAATGTGTTGGCATTTTCAAAAACTATAGGTGTATTTTTGCAAGTTAATTTCAGACGGTCCAGATTATTTAATACTAGTGGGGATTTTTATTGATACCGATAGACAAGCAAATTCAATCTTTTCACATTTATTCTTGATTTGGAAATTTAGTTTAACTATCGATTGTCCGATGATTATTTTCGTTTCCTAAACTCTCGATATGACAGTCAAAACTGTGTTTTTAGTAATTTATTATCCAAACGGACTTTGTTTGTGTGCTTTCGTCACTTTCTCCATGGTAATATTAACGCATTTGACCATCAGAAAGATGCTATCAAGTATTTCCCTGTGTTCGATCCTGAGCGTCGGCGATCTCACACCAAAGACGATCAGAAGTCCTTGAGGCAAGTTAATAGTATTCTGAACATAAATAAATGTATTTTCTCATTCTGATTAAACATGTATAAAAATTAGGGATGTAAATGTAATTTAATTTCTATAGCGCGTTTCTTTAGAGGTGATATATGATCTAAATTTGTATATTGCTATGCCTATTTAGTCTTCAAACAAACCATATTGCATGCTCGGTGCAGCGGCCGCAGTACTGGCATTCGAGGAGCACGCGGCGACAGCAGGCAGCTCATACTGGACGCCGGGCAGAAGAGGTTTGGGGCGGAGCAGTGCAAGGAATGTGGCCTCGTCTACGAGCATGCCGACCCCGACGACGAGGCTCTGCATCACTCGTACCACAACAGAGTCACCAAGGCTCTCGCCTACACGGTGTGTCTCATTTTAATCCTTTTAATTTGCTCTTGTTTCGTGTGCATGCCATTCATTTTGATAGGAAGGATTTCTAAATTTTTAGTTACCTATGCATGCCCGCCATGTTGGTAGGAATGGTTGCAGAAACACTTGTTACGTATGCATGCTCGCCATGTTGGTAGGAAGGGTGTCTTAATCTTAACCTCTGAAAATGCGGATCGCGAACAACTGGCAGATTTTTATTAATGCATTGTCTTTTACCATTCATTATTTTAACTTGATTCATTTCAATTATTAAGTAGTGGCGTTGAAATTTTTTATAACCATCTTCCAGTTAGTTTGACATATTTAATATAATTAACCCAACTTTTCAGAACTGGAAAAAGGAACGTCGGATCTCAACAATAGATTCTCATGGAGGACGCTCGATCCTGGTCACTTCTGACGACCCTCACTATTTCTGGCGTAAGGTAGAAGATGTTCTCGCAGTGGTTGATGAAGAACTCGGATTTGCTGAAAGCAAAGGAATAGCAAAGGACCGTAATACCAAAGCTGTGCTTTATGTAACTAATAGCAAAGTTGTTGGTTTGTTGATCGCCGAACCTATTGACGAGGCATACAAGGTTATTCCTGATGCCGATGGTGCTGGTAAGGAGTCGCTCGTTTGCTGCTCTCATGAACCTCAACCTGTGCGCTTTGGCATTAGTCGGTTATGGGTCAAGAGTGATATCCGACGATCAGGTTTGGCATCAAAATTGGTTGATGCGTTCCGAGCAAATATGATACCGCATCATTATCTGAAAACAGATGAGTTTGCTTTCTCAGATCCTACTCTGAATGGCTTGGCATTTGCTCGAAAGTATATGAAAAAAGATGATTTCCTTGTGTACCGTCATGGAGTGTGATTCATTGGCATGCTTCACTGTACATAAATTCTCATATTTTCGACTAAAAAATGTTTCTGTAGTTATAGTTCCTATCTTACAAGTGGATATACTTAAAGGAAAACTTCCTTTTCGAATTACATGGATTGTCACAATAATCGAAACTTTTTAGTTATTAACTAATGTTTGTGTTACGAGTTCACTCGACCAAGCGATACCAACGACTTGAGATGCCATTTATTAGCATTGGTATTCATTTGTTTACTTCTTTGACGTTCTGTTGGTTACTATAACTCCCGTCTTGCTTATAGGAAAACAAGTTTGTTTCCACGAATCCTGCAGTCATTTTCGTCTTCATGCACGCAACTGGGGTGCATTATAAAAAAGTTTTTAAAACTTCTCCGAAATTTGAATAAATCTTTCTTCATGCAGTTCTGAAAATAGTCAACGCGTGCCGTAAAGGCATTCCTTAGTCTTGCACCAATTTATTTTGATTTTTGGACTGACGAAATGTATTTCTTGGGTTTCACATCGTTGTTGACGTAAATAAAATTCTTTTGTTTTTCTTACTGGATAATGGAGCTAAATTCAAAAGAAAAATGTAATCTTTTTACTACGTAATTGTTTTAAGCATTTGTTTATTGTGACCTAGTGTTAGGAATAATTAAGTTCAAGTATAAAAAGATTTTATTTGACCGAAGTCGGTCACAGCAACGGTGCCCATTTTCTAAGCTCGTGCTAAGTAATGAACGCTGATAAAACTTCATGGAAGGTTTTAAATGCAACACAAAAGAAGCATGTAAATACCATCTTATTCGAGTTGTCCTTATTTGAAATGGCTGAGAGAATGAATCGAATGGTAACAAATTGAAATATCCAGTTCAATTGTGGGCATGAATAAAAGCAACGAATATTCGTCGGCAATTCTTTCACTATCCTCTCTCATGGTCGTAAAATTACGAACAAAAATCTCCTATGCAGAACATATCTATTTGATAGTGGAGAGTGTAGCCAGCACAGTCTTGGCTACACTGACGATAAGAGGGGGAGACTTCGACGTTCAATAATGGAATTATATTGATTATATTTTGTCCATTAGGACAGTGAAAGATAGAAGGTACGTTCATTATGGATGGCAAGGTTACACAGACTCATGACATATTTAGAAAGGGTTATTTCTTCACCTACTTACATCATGTAGATTCATATGAATAGTGCGAGTCGAAATTTTGAACGCAGGCTTTTTTTAACACAGTAGTGAACGAGATGGGCAATTCGTTATAGATGATTAGTTTCTTTTGAGTATCATACTATTTTGCATATAGAAAATAATGATAATTAGATAGATCCATTAAAATATTGAATTACTGCACAAATGAACATGCATACCTCTAATCTCAATTAATCCAAACCAAAAATCGCGTCTTACCGATGTCAATTTTTCTAGCTGCTACACTTCAACATAATGCTAAGTGCAGAATAACTTAATGTCATTATATCTGCTACAGTATCATAGTTGAGTAACTTGAGTTAGCCAAGTATTAGACAATTAGCAGGTAAATAGCCGTTTAGACCGCAGATTCAATAGGGAAGATAAATAACGAAAGCTAAATGTAGGTGACTATTGATCAGATCAAGTTGCTTAACAGTCCAAGAAGTTGGCAGCCATTAACAGCTCAAGTGCAATCTCCGGCGCAATAGGAAACTCTGGGATTTCAGTGGAGCTGTTGGTGTAGCGCACTTTGTACGTGAAGTAGATGCAGACTCTCTGTAGGACATGCGACCTGTAAGAAAATACAATCATTCAATGAAGTAGCAGTCAATTTGATTTAAATTTCATTTCTTATTCTTTTTTCTTAGGCTTTTTTGCCTTTGATTAAGACTAATTTGGGAAAAGAATACATATTGGATAAAGAGGCGTTGATTTTCAACACAGCTTCTTGATACGTACCTACTTACATAATTTCAAACACATATTTAATAACTCAATCTAATTATATCAGCTTGTCTGGCAATCACATTGTCAAAAATAAAAAATTGCTGGCATAATTTCATGAGAATGTCATACAATACTTTATCTTATTTTTCTGGCGATGGAGGAGCAAGCTTATAGTGTATAGTGTATAACTGTTCTAAGAAAGGTACATGAAATCACATTCAGGATATACAGTGGGGGGAAATAAATATTCGTACACTTGAAAAATCGTGTTTTAATGTATTTAAGTACACAAACTTAACAGGAAAAGTGATTTAAATTATGTATAGAGACGCATAGTATTCAAAAATACTATCAAAATAAATTAAATCTCAATGCAACAAAAAACAATGCAACATGTTCACTTTTCGGGTGAAAAAAGTATTCGTACAAAACAATAAATCCGCATTATTTTAATTTAATACTTGGTTGAATACCCTTTATTCAGCTCAACAGATACCAGTCTATTTCTATACGTCTCGACCAATGATTTGCAGATGCTGACTGGTATTTTATACCATTCTTCTTGGCACACCACCTTAAGATTCTCAATGTTTTGGATTTTTCGTCCCAATAATCTAGCAGATCGTGCAGAAATCTTCCTAGGAGCACCTGATCGTCTTTGGTTTTCAACGCTGTCACGGGTCTTGAAGCGTCCAATGAACGAAGCAACTGTACCAAAAGGAACATTCAAGTGGCTAGCAATCTTCCTATAACTTTCTCCTTCCTTCCAACGCGATAGAATTAGTTGTTTTTGGGAACTTGTTAGTTCTTTACCTTTAGCCATTTTTGAGACCTTCTTGTAATACGGGCAGTTGCAGAATGATCTGGTAGTTGCAAAATACGTTAACTATGGTTACTGATTACATTACTGGAACGTGCTACATGTTTCTAGTACATTCTGGAATGTTCTGGTGTGAAATATTAGTCAAAATTTGTTTTGTACGAATACTTTTTTGACCCGAAGAAGTTAACATGTTGCATTAATTTTTGTTGCATTGAGATTTAATTTCTATTGATGCTATTTTTGAATACAATGCGCCTCTATACATAATATAAATCACTTCTCCTATTCAGTTTGTGTACTTACATACATTAAAATACGATTTTTCAAGTGTACGAATATTTATTTCCCCCCACTGTATATACAGTGACACAAAAAAGTATTGGATACATTACAGTTTTCTTCATATCTCAAGTTTAAGTGCAAGACTTCACCTAATATATGGTCAGTATTTGCTAATGGTACTAGAAACATTGTGTAGAAAGGGTATTTTACCATAAGCATTTAGATTTTGTTCAACAAAATAGAAAAATTTACCCATGCAAAAATATTGGGTACATGTTCAGAAATTAACAAAAATAACTTTTTTAATAGTACTCAAAATTTGCTTTTCACTTAAGAAATTCCACTAATCTCATATCCTCATCTAATTGGCAGATCAGAGTAGTTTGCTATTGTTAACAAGATTTTCTGTTCCAGTGAAGATATTATTCAGCTTCATCTTTGCAATCTAATTTAAAATGGCTAAAACTTGACAGTTAGTGACAGATTTGCATCAAAAGGTCATTGGTTGTCACAAGAAATGTAAGGGGTATTGAATAATATCCAAGGAGCTTGATATATCATCAAGTAAAGTTGGAAATATCATCAGGAAGCAATCATCCTGATATCATCTGAGCATACTGTTGGCAAACCTTCCAAGACCTGGTTGTCCAAGGAATTTAATAGACGGTAATGCAAGGTGAATTAGCAGAAAGGTACGGCAGAACTTGTTTGTTACTCGAGGTGAAATTAAAAACGATTTGAAGGAAGCTGGGATTGACATAGAAAAGGACACAATCAGCGAGCTCTAAATCATATTGGTCTTATGTCAAGATCCCCATGAGAGGTTCCTCTGTTGAAGTACAGACATGTGAAAGCCTGTCTGAATTATGTTAAAAAATACGGGGAGAAAGTACAAGAATTTTGGGATAAGGTAATCTGGTTGGACAAAGGAAAATCAAATTTTTTGGAAGGAATTCGACTACCCAGGTGTGGCAGAAAAACAACTCCATGTTCAACAACAAGAATACTATTCCTACCATGAAGTTTGGTTCCTACCGTGAAGTTTGGTGTGGGTTTGATTATGATCTGGGGATATTTCTGTTCAAAGGGTGCTAGAGAACATGAAATATTTGATGGCAGGACAAATGGGTGGATGTACAGGAAGATTCTTGAAAAAAACCTCTTCAAATCTGCTAATTCTTTGGGACTTGGATGCAATTTTGTGTTTCAAGATGACAATGATCCCAAACATACAGCCAAGCTTATGAAAAAAACGGCTTTAAGATAGGGAAATTTGTGTTCTCTCTTGGCCTAGCCAGTAGCCAATCTCTAGACCTCAACCCCATTGGGAACTTGTGGAAATTGCTGAAGATCAATGTTCATAAAAGGAACGCAAGTAATATCCAGCAACTGAAAGATCTCTGTACAGCAGAATGGCACAAAATATCTGCAAATGTATGCAAGAGACAAGTCTGTAATTATAGGAAGCAACTGGAAGCTGTACAACAAAATAAAGCATACACATCCATATATTAGATTGTATCCAATACTTTTGCATGGGTTAATCTTTCTATTTTAATGGAAAAAATCTAAACAATGCATACTTCTCAATATGACAATATCCTTTCTCTATAATATTTCTAGTACCATTAGCAATATACTCACCGAATATTAGGTTAAATTTTGCACTGTAACTTGAGATAAGAAGAAAACTGTAATGTATCCAATACTTTTGGGGGTTACTGTACATGAGAATTACTTTAAGTAGGTATAATTTTAGAAATATTGTGCTCATGAACATCGATTTAAAAATATATGAATACAATGAAAATTTGAATAAACTATTAAAACATCCATATGCTGCACAAATCAAGTCAATAATTCTTTAGAAGATATAAAGTTTTTACATTTATACCTCAGTTACAACTTGTCACTACTAGTTCAAGACACTTACGGTATTTCCCTGAAGTTCACTTCATTTGTTTCATTCTCAGCAAACTGGCCTGGCCCAGATAGCATGGCCTTGATAGTGCCAGAGGTCAGAGCATACTGCCTCTTGACAATAAACTCATGGCCATCTGAAGAAATGAGCTTTACATACATGGCATCAGGGCCTTCACAGCCACCATACTTTTGATCATCACTTGAGGCTTCATCACCCATTGTTATAATAAAAAAATTTCACGCTTGCTGCAATGAGACTGAAAGAGAAAATGTATTAGGAACCAGACCCAACAAACATGGCAGAACGAGATAATGACCAACTACCTAGAATTTCTTGTATGAATGCAATGAAATATATTGGGAATGCAGGGAGCAGAAGCCAATTATAGGGCAACTATGCCCTGTATTCTACATTAAAAATGCAAATTTATGGTAGTTACACAGATATTTTCAGATTAACAATAGTACTGAATAAAGAGTCAATTTATTCAACCCTTACAGTTGACTTCTCATGTTTCAATGCCTTTCTCATTGTTGTAACCTTTACAACAATGAGTAACCTTTAAAAAATGTGAGATCTTTTCAATCAAACATAGTATACCGGTACTGTTAAACAGGGTAATAACTAATAAGTGATGGGCGTGTTAAATCGAGACAGTTCCACATTTTGTAGAAATTTTGTAGCAGCAAAACTATTCAAAATATTGCAAAACTAAAAATAAAAATAGTGGTGTAAATTTCAACATTTTTACTCTACGTAGCATAAAGCAAATTCATAAATCATACATTTACTACCTCTAAAAAATCCCTGAAAAAAAGTGTAAAAAGTGAAATTTTGGATTGAAATATCAAAAGATATTTATATATAAAGATATAATATTGAAAGATATTTGGCGATGCATCAGCAGCAAAATTTACGCATTCTAAAGATCTTGCCAACACATTTGGATTGAAATTATTGCATTTCAGAAATTACTTCAAAATTTCTGCCAATCTGAAAGACCGCTAAACACACAGTAAGGTTTCCGGTACGCCGGATGGATCAGGATGCAGTGAAGCTTGTCCAGAAATCTGTTGCAATGTGTGTAAGTGTTGCGGTGCGTGCAGAGTAAGGGATATAGTATCAAAGTTGCTTGCAGCACTTTCTTATTAAAAATTACCTGGCGATGGATCTTGAAAATGGCTGGCAGTGCTTTGGGCTAAAAAACCATATCTTGGTGACACTGCTTGCACCCTCTGCACCCTGGCCTCTGCTAAGGCGTATAGCAAAACAAATTTTTGCCATATTGAAAAATTTTATTTACAATAACGTTGCACACAGATGTTGGCTTACCAGTGTGATTGATGAAGTTTGCGCATCTCATTAAAAAAATGGCAGCCATTTCCACAAGATGGGGTAATAAAGGACACCCCTACAAACGCATTTACAGTAGTACCTCAATTAGCAAAGGCTTCAGTCCAGTGTGCAGAGGGTGCAAGCAGAGTAGCCAAGATATGAGTTTTCAGCCAAAAATGTTGCCAGCATTACTCGATAGTTCTCGCTGTTGCCGCCAGAAGTCTTCAGGATGTGTCACCTAGTAATTTTTAATAATGAAGATGCTAAAAGTTCAAAGAGTATATCTTCCACTCCCAAGGAACTACAGCAGTCAATATGGCTCCAATTAACAACAATAAATGCTGATTAAATTGACCACCCTCAGCAAAAAAATTCAATTAACAACAAATTTATGCATCATTGCCTTTTAGTGGTCATCAGTCATCACAAAATTGTGCATAGAATGTCATAGGGTAAATGCACCATATTCCGACACTGGGTAATTTCAACCCCCCTCAACTTTTTCCTTTATATTAAGCTTGGTCTTAGTTCCACGCATGCATAGATGGTTGAAATAGTGACGTTATACTATTGCGTGCAAGGTTTCCGCAAAACACTAGGTCTAGCAGAAAATGTTAAGATCCACAGAGCAAAAGTCCAAGTCAGCTACGTACTGAGAACATCAAAACACATATGAATGTAGATAGTTGACCTTGCTTTACAAAAGAGTGATAAACTGTTTGTGTAGTAGAAAGAATATTATGGTTTGACCTTTTAAATAAGTCTGTGAATATATTAGGAATCCTTTAAGTATAGCCTACTTGTATTTGCTAATTTTAAGTGGTAAATAAATTAATAGATGACTGATTTATCATTTAAGAGACAGTTTTAGACACATAAAAACTAATTCCGACACAGGGTGTCAGAATTAGGACACACAGGAATGACAGGATGTCGTATTCCGACACAGGGTGTTGGATTTATGAATTACGATTTTGAAGTGCTGTCGGAATTAGTCTCACAATTTGCCGCATTTAGTCACACACAGTGTTGGAATTCAGCGATTTTGTAGATTTGAATTCTAAAGGCTTTTAAACAAATTTGGCAACAATTTGTGACATTTCATCATTGCTGGCGCCTACATTGATCTATTTATAGCCATTTATTTCTTGCTAGGCCTACATCCTTTAGTTGTCGGAATATGATGTGTTTACCCTGGATAGAATCATGACTTCACAATTCTATAACAAGACTTCAGTAAGAATTAGGAAAATTCCAATTGTAATTATGTCAGGAATCATTGGGTATTAATTTTTAAAAAATTAATATTATTTACCAGCATTATCACACGTATTCACACCTACATAAGTCTAAGATATTGGATTAAATTTTGAGTAGAAAAGAAAATTATACTGTATTTATACATAATACAAGAACTGATTCTAGAAAATCTGTGGTTTGAGCTTTAACGTTGACCCTAGTAGCCTATATGGGTAATGGGTTAGGGTAATGACTGACATTGACTGTAGTGTATCATGTGTATGGCTATGGCCATTGACCAGGAGCTGAGGAGTCCAGGACCACAAGACACAAGTCCACAACATATCACATACGATGACCATACCTGTCATAAGTAAAGTATGATGCCCTCAATGTAATAGCATTCAGATTCTGAATGCTATTAAATTAAGGGCAACATACCTACTTTACGCGGGAGCGCTGCCGTAGCCCAAAAATTTGACTCTTAAATCAGCCCAAAAACCAATGCCAACCCTCTACATGCCACACTCAGGAAGATGTATATAAACGGGGAATTTTCTCGCGTATATATAGCTTTTTATATTTCGTTCGCGCACGCGTTCGCGTAAATCACGGTCATCGATTCCACGTGGCGTAGCACTCGGCGCGGGCCGTGGAGCCGTCCGACACAGTTCTGATTTAGACACAGTTTTCATCTGAATGGAATGGCAACATCGTCTGTAGATTTCAAGTAACGCTGAACGATCTTCGAGTGTGATGTGTCCCTCTGAAGCTATTTTCATTTTTATTAATGTTTGTTGTTCGCCTCTATAATTAACCTTCATCGTTGCAATAAAAATGAAAATTTATAATTAAGATAGATTTCTTCCGGTGCCTGTGTTTTTGATGCAATTAGCACTTATTAGTGAATGAATGATTTGCGGTGTGGTTCTTTAATCTTGACTTCTGCAGTCCGCGCTATCCCGTACGATTACCGTACGTTCCGTATCCGCAAGCGGAACGCGGAAGAGTCAGAAGTAACCCGGACATGTTAGACTCGCGTCAGTTCGACTCGCGTAGTCAATATACTCGCGTATATTGTCGACTTTCTAAAGTACGGCGCATTTTTTTTACCAGCATTGTACGGCGCACCGCGCAGGTCGTTAAAATGACAAAAAAAATTCCCGCGCACCTGGCACATCTTCCTGACCATGGTCTACATGCAATAGAAATAGTCAGTCTAATACCTATGCAGCTGTTCTTACTTGCCTCATCTCGCTACACCAGCTTGAAACAAGCAATGCCTCATCCCACAAACTGATACTACAAACGGATTACGCCCAATAGCTCCTACACCAATGATTTAAGCCCATACCATCACTTCTTACAAATGCCGTAAGCCACAGGGTCCGCAGACCGCACCAGACTGCCCGCTGCCGTAAATGGGAACGGCCCCGCACCGGACTGTCGCATCACCTTACCCACTTCGCAGGCGTAAGCCCAACCCTAACGCTCACCAGCATCTTCTACCTCCACACTTACCCCATTCTCTCCACCTTTCCGCGATACCGCGAAGGGGTTAGGTTAGGTTAGGTTAGGTCATAGTGACAAACCAGAGATTTTTTAGAATCAGTTCATTTTTAATTTCCTCATTTACCCAAGATTTAAACCAATTTCTTATGTATGATGATGCTGGTATCCAGGATACTTTACTGGTCTACTTATAGGAGTCAAAAATGAACTTGAGGCGAAGTTGAGGGTGAGTCTAAAAAACTCTCTGCTTTGCCACTATGGGTTAGGTTTGGTTAAACTTCTTCCGCAAGCTGGTACCGAAAGGAGGGGGAGCAGGGGGTAAGCATGGAGGTTTAGCCTCCAGAAGAACGGACAGGCTGGAGTGGTAGCAGTGTGGCGCAGGGCGTTCTTTATTGAAAGTGGGGAAGGGGCTAGGCTGCATGGAATAGAAATATTTTGGGGTTTAGCGTGTGGGTTACGACCATTGTTTTGGCGGCTTGCAGCTCATTGGCTCGCTGGTTTACATCCATGAAGGGATTTAGTCCCTGTGGCTTTCAGCAAGTAATCATGTTGGCTAATTTGCTCTGCAGCATGCTTGCGCACGGGGTGAAGTATGAAAATTATACTGGTATTGGGCAATGCTGGGTTATTTCAGTCGTCCCCTTTACGCTTACGGGCTCCACAGTTTAAAATCAATGCTCTGAATTTCAGATTCAGAGCAATGAGTTCAGACGATGGAGCTCAAAGTTCAAATTTTTTATACCTAGGTATTTAGATTTAAACATTAGATGTAACGTGATATAGTGTAAACTTGAAAAAATATCAAAAAATTTATAGTTATTAATCCAGTATTATTCCACGGTTCCACCTTCGCGGTGATGTTGCTGATTCCAGTGATTCGCACGTCACGAGCCGTAAAAATGAATGAGCGGGACTGCCAGAAAAGGGAACGTCTAAACTACGGATCGATTGCACAGCTACTCACTGAGAGTGCCCCATGGTTGAACTAGATTGATAGTAAATGATTTTCAACCATGGAGTGCCCGACTTGTTCATACAAAAGCACGATGAAATTATTGGAAGAGTAAACAACAAACAGTATCATAAGCATTCAATGCGATTTTTTTTTATATTACGATCACTTCGAAATTTCACACTATTAAATCACGGGACACCTGTCGGAGACCACCA